ACACCTTATATCTTGCGTGTTTTTACATTTTTTTGTAATTCTTACACTCTTTCATTGCAGTAACATTTGGTACTTGCGGTAAGAAGAGTGTAAGAATGAACACTGTTTAAAGCTCCTATGGAATAACAAGGATTCGATCACAGTTCTGTTCAGTATTCCTGTGATCCATTATACTCAAAGGGAATGCCTAATGGCTTCCAAACATGTATTGAATCCCCATTCATCAAATGATTGCGAAGTGACAGATAGATAAAATGAGAAGTTGACTGAAATCTAACTGGGGTTGACATATCCTATACCTATTAAGCTAGATTAATCCTTTAAAGCAACACAAAGTTCTCCCTTGTCGGCTGCTTTTTGAAGCGCTTTGGGACGTCCTCCCGACGTGAAAAGCGCTATATCAAATGCAAGAATTATTATTATTATTATTATTGAAGCTCTCTGCCACAGAATCCTGCTCTTTCTAAAAATACCACTCCACTGATGTCTGTTCTCTGGAATATGTTGAGGTACCAATGCTCTGTTGCAATGACTGAGGGTTGGACGTTCATGCCTGATTCCCCATGTCTGTAATGGCATGCGAATTGCCAGCGGATGAACATAATGTAGCTATTGATTTTTCCCGCAGTGAAGGAGAGAAATCACAGAGCACATCACATCTTCAGACAATCACATCCACTTCCTAAGCACAGAACTTCTAAGCCAATAGTCATAGGAATAGAAACTACAGCAGTTGTCTACTCGTCTCTGTCAGTGAATCGTACATAATACATCTCAAGAAAGAGGGGGAAAAAAACAAGGGGGATGAAATAAATATAACCCTTGCAATTGGTATAGAACCTTTTACGTCCTGTGGTCAAGTCCTTATAGAAATATTAGTATCTTCTCATCGGGTCAATCATATGAGAAAGAAATGAGGGTTCCTGCGTCTATGAAGAACATCTAGGTCCCTTTGACTGAAACATTTGCCGTTTTTGTCAGCTCATGTAATACAAAATATCTATGGAAAGCTTCTCTTGAGTAAGTTCTGAAACTAGTTTGCACTTTGTTTCCAGGAATCTCAGAAAATAGCAGAACTAACAATCCAAATTCCAAACTCATTCCTCCGCAGGCAAAAACAAAACCAGAGGTCATCCTTGAGTATGGCTACTGTACATGCCAATGCACTAACCTTTAATCTGTTAAATAAATAAGAGACCATAGATAAGCTAAACTGCTTAGAGTTTGAAGCTCTCACTCTTTCCGGGAAAAAAATATTCATCCCCAGTAATAAAGAGTAGGAAAGGGGTCGGAGTACCTCCTAGTTTTATGCCTTGAAGTAGATAACAAAGCTTCTGACTGAAATCAGTTGCATTTCTTTTCTAGTTGGGTAAACAGTAAAGTACAAGCTGTGTGGGGTTCCCTGTAAGAAGATAAAGCTTTGTGAGCTATCTGCAACTTTAATATACATTTACATTGCAATATATAACATTGTCAACATATATAACTTTGTCATTTGGACTCATTTTCAGGATAATAAATAAAATTATTGGTTGCATCTCGATTTTTTTTATCAGTTCCTGAGCAGCTATCAGTTAGTGCACACGGTTTAATCCACTGCCAATCTTCCTGTCACAATGTTCACCTTTTGACATTCTGAAAGTGAATAACCAGAATCAGCTGTTAGCTCGCATACTATAAAAATACGCAGGTTAAAAGTACCTGCTATTATGTTGTGAGGAGGGATGGGAGTATTGAGGAAAGCTCAAGGTTGAGAAAACAGGCAGTTTCAAAAATGAGGAATAGTGCTGTGAAGAAAATAGATGTTTAGCGAAAGATAGTAACATAAGTCATAACATCGTCAGCAGACTGCAAAATCACAAGGGAAAACTGAGTCACAAGGGTCGTGATGAGCGGTTGGTGGCTGATCAGTGCATGATCAGGAGCATGATGAGTTGTGATTGGGACAGAGGGGGTGAGATGCACTGTCTAGCTTATTTGGTAGTAGAAACTGATGCGATAGGGAGGTAGAACATTATTTAACCTAGAGCAAGGGGCTTAAGCAGTACAGTCAGAGGTAGAAGAGCAGCATGTTCTTTTGCAAACATTTCCACTGTCCGGGGTCGGAAGATCAAATAATATCTTTTCGATTCTGCATTTCCGAGATTGACTGTATACCTCTTTTTACGTTGCACCATATTGGATTGTCTGGTCATTGATTCGAACCTTCAGGTTACAGAATTATTTAGAGATCACTGCAGGCAGACAGTTTTTGCAGCATCAATGTTTGTGGGGTCTAAGTGAGAAAATCTTTTTTTTAAAAACATTTTTGTTACAATTACAGCAGTCTATCATCTGTGATCTTCAAACTTAGTTAATTGGCTCTATCCAGCAACAATTTTAATATGGCTACTCAAAGCACATAATGGGTTTACACTTGACTGTAGTTAAAATCTGCTGAGATTAGGAGGAAATTTCCTTCAAGCAGGTTTTTGGGGAGTGCACATTTAACTAAGTAATTGTTTAAATATAACATTCGTTACATTCAATAGCTCTTAAACGATCCATTGGACAATTAAAATTTTCAAAATTATTAAGGAACTGGCAGAGCCAGAGTTGTTTTTTAATTATATTAAATATTAACCAGCAATCGGCATTGGTGAGTGGAGCTGCACTGATGTGCTAACGTGTGCAGTTCTGCTTCCTTACATCTGAGCCCAGAGCGATAAGTCTAGAGTATCACCTGTGTATAGATAATGAGCAGCCTATTTTACTTAGATCTGAGTCTCTAAAGACAGCATAGCTTTAAAAGCCTTGAACAGAACTGCGTACCACTTGAAGCAGTGGATATAGGGAACTAACCCCAAAATAGATGATGCTGTGGCTACTAACTCCTTCCAAAACAAACTGGATAAGCATCTGACTGAAATTTGTATTGCAAGATTATAGGGATAGGCACAGAGGAAGAATGAATTGGGATACTGGTTTCTGTAGTAATGGAATAACAGATATTATCAGTTGGAGGGACGAAGCTGAAGGTTGAATAATGGACATAAAGTAATGGAGTTTTTGCTCGATTAACTTTGGGGTTCAGGGAATATTTATAAAATCCCTCTTTGGTGTGCATGGCTATGAAGAGGGCAAGCTTGATAAAACTGAATAGCCCATTCTTGGTCAGTCGGTCACATCCTGAGTTTTTTTGGGGGGCCCTTTGACTCAAGTTATTGAAGTCTGCAATAAAAAGATTCCACTGGAGGGAGCCTACAGAAACATGATACTTTCAGCAAAATCTTAACATTTCAGTTTCCAACTTTCTCCAATTTAACTTTATTAAGTGTACCCTTTCAGTTTCTAGTTGTTGGCAAAACCTCACTGGGTTTCTACTTACTGCAAGATAAAACAGAGGCACAAGGAAGCTTGTCTAACATTTCACCCTAACTTATCTTCTGTTCCCTCCTTCCATTGGGAATTCCCTAAAAAGTCATAATCTTTACGTTTGATAGATCACCATCCCGTGTGGTCAAAAATCTCCCAGCTCTTCAACAGGATTTATTGTAAAATGTAGTCAGCGTATTTTGGAGGTCAATGTGACGGCCAGTTTCCACAGAGCAGTGTTCCAGAAACAACCATAATGTAAATCACCAATTTTAACTGGAGGATTGTTTGCCAGGAGATATAGATATTTATATATACATGCTCCTAATTTCCCGCGGCCTTTTGAACTATTACCATGACGGGAACATTTTTAACGGTGTGTGAAAAAAAAAGGCAGCAAACGGTGGCCTTGTAAGCAAATTAAATGGTTGTTAATAACCCGTAAGTAGAAAATAAACAGCATTTAGTTCAGCAGCGGCATCAAACAGTAGAAAATAGCAGACAACTGCATTGGAATTTCCACGTAATGTACGGTGCGTCCAACACTGTGAGGCATTTCCTCAGTTATGACAATCCCATACTCCGGGGGAATTATCACTGTTTTGTCCCAACATTTCAGTGAGAAACAAATCTATGACAAAAAAACACCATTTTTTTCCCCCTGCAAGTATCCTCAAAGCGCAGCATCGAATATTAAGACCGTGTTTCTTTGCTACTTAAGTAAAAAGATCATCTCTTCGGCTTTGCGGAAATAAAATAAAAGCCGGGATCACCTCCAGGCTCGAAGGCTGTAGCAAAAAGGCCGAACGCTGTGCAAAAAAAAAAAAAACCCACCGCGGAAGGTAACTTATTTACTTAAGTTACTTAACTGGGGGTGTCTTTTTTTTTCCCCGAGACGCTTAAGGCTAAATTCACGGGGAATCAAAGGAGAAGTTAAAAGATTCGTTGGTGTAAACCCTCACGTTCGATAAGAGCGCCAATGACATCAAAACGGTCTCAAAAGGACCACCGGAAAGCCCGGAAGCGCTTACGGGAAACTGCCAAACAACAACAACATTACACCTGTGTGTGTGTGTGTGTGTGTGTGTAGTTGTACAGGAGCCCATTAGAAGGGGTACAGGGATATGGGGGGAGTGGGGGGGACTGTGTGTGTGTGTGGGGGGGGGGGGGGGGGGGGGGAGGGGGCACAGCACAGCCTTGAGAGGCCCCCAATGGTGTCCCTCTGGGCTGTGGATTGTTTCTAACCCTCTCCCCACCGCCCCCTCCCTCACAGCCCCAATCCTCTCCCACCCCCCACTCCAGTTAAACTCTTTCTCTTTCTCCCTCCAGCCCCTCGGGGGCGGTAAGCCCCGGGGCTGACCGTTAATGGCCGCCGCCTATCCCGGCCTTCCCTCACGCGCTCCCTCCTCCAAGCCATTTTTTTTCTTCGTGTTGCCGCCAGAGCCGAGCGTCAAGGCAAGACGGCGGCCGCCATCTTTGATCCTGGCAATCCCGCACACACAGCGCAGGCGCCGGAAACTACCCCTCTCATAACGACCCCCCCCCTCACCCCCGGGACCCTCGTCACGTGATGCGGGTGAGGGCTTGCGGAGCGGGGTCGGACGTGACGCGCGCTGCTTCCTGTCAGTGCTTGTGTGGGGGGGTGTGTGTGGGTGGTGGTGAGTGTAAATGGCGGCGCTCAGGTCAGTGGACGGTTCAGTGGGGGAATGGTGAGCCGGTGGTTGGTTTAGTGCTTAGGTTTTTTTTTTTTTGGGGGTGGGGTGGGGAGGGGGAAGGGTGGAGTCAGCCCGGTGTCTGACACCGGAGGAAACCCATCGCCGCTGCTCTTAAGCGTCTCCAAAGCCAACTGAGAATTCCCGGCCTCCCACCTGCCCCCTCCCCCCCCCCCCCCACCCCCGGACATCCCAGCCATGGACTGCTGGAATGGAATGCACTCCCTCCCTCTCTCCCTCGCCATCTCTCCCCCCCTCTCTCCCTCTCCCCTCCTCGCCCTCTCCCTCCCTCGCCCTCTTCCTCCCTCGCCCTCTCTCCCTCTCTCCCCTCCCTCGCCCTCTCTCCCCTCCCTCGCCCTCTCTTCCTCCCTCGCCCTCTCTCCCTCCCTCCCCCTCTCCCTCTCCTCCCTCGCCCTCTCTCCCTCTCTCCCCTCCCTCGCCCTCTCTCCCTCTCTCTCCCCTCCCTCGCCCTCTCTCCCCTCCCTCGCCCTCTCTCCCTCCCTCCCCTCCCCCCCCCCTCGCCCTCTCTCCCTCCCTCCCCCCCCTCGCCCTCTCTCCTCCCTCGCCCTCCTCCCTCTCTCCCCTCCCTCGCCCTCTCTCCCTCTCTCCCCTCCCTCGCCCTCTCTCCCTCTCTCCCCTCCCTCCCCTCTCTCCCTCCCTCCCCTCTCTCCCCTCCCTCCCCTCTCTCCCCTCCCTCCCCTCTCTCCCTCCCTCGCCCTCTCTCCCTCTCTCCCTCCCTCCACCCCTCCCCTCTCTCCCTCTCTCCCCTCCCTCCATCCCGCCCTCTCTCCCTCTCTCCCCTCCCTCCCCTCTCCCCTCCTCTCGCCCTCTCTCCCTCTCTCCCCTCCCTCGCCCTCTCTCCCTCTCTCCCCTCCCTCTCCCTCTCTCCCCTCCCTCGCCCTCTCTCCCCCTCTCGCCCTCTCTCCCTCCCTGGAGGGGTTAAACCCTCCGCTGACCTAATTCCGCAAAATGTTAGGCGCAGGTTGGCAAGAGCCAAAGCTCAGGGATGTGGGTGGGTGGGTGGGGGGGCGACCCCCAGAGGGTGCGTTGGTTGGGGGGTAACTGCTGGAGTCTAATCAGCTTAAAAAAAACCGCACCTCTCGCCCGTTGACGGCACTGTCTGCCAACGGTCATTGGGGTAACACGAGAGTTACCGCAAGTACATGCGCGCGCGGCTTCGGCTGTGACCGGCCCCTGTGCTTCGGCCGTCTTCCCCAGGACTGCTTTGCCGCGCGCGTGGTTAGAATTTTGTTTTTAAATCCCAAACATCAGTTGCGATGAGGCAAACCCACGGCTCTGTTCCGTGGATTTGTCCCTACCGACCTGCCCGCTCCCTCCGTTCCTCTGGCTCCGGCTGCTCCGTGTCTCCCGCCCGACACGCCCTACCGTCGGTGGCCGGGCTTTCAGCCTCTCTGCCCCCACACTCTGGAACTCCATCCCACGGTCCCTTCGCAGCGCTTCCTCCCTTACCTCCTTCAAGGCCGATCTCAAGACCCTTCTCTTCGACCGTGCCTTTGGTCTCCCTCCCACCTCTCTGCCTTCCCTCACCCCTACACCACCCCCTCCCCCATGCTCGGGCCCCAACACCTGACTGTTCAGCACTTTGGGACGTCCTCCCGACATGAAAGGCGCTCTATAAATGTAATTTTGCTGTTGTTGTGATCCTACTTTATAGTGTTAAGTGTTACAAATCTTCAATACGTTTAGGCAACAGACGCATGTTCTGCTTAGAATCTAATTTTCTGTTAGTGTAGAAAGGAGATGTCTTATAGATTACACGTCTTACACATGTGATCAGATGTGTAACCATCTTCACCAAATATTGCTGTACTTGAAGAAAATGTTCAACGTCTATCAGATGCTGTTATCTTCAAAGTTCTCATTTTAAAACTTTATCTTCAGTAGCCCACACTACTTTTGATCATTTGAATCAAGAACATGGAAACCTCAGTGAAGAGTTCATTAACAGAAACCGTACTAATCACAGGTGGGGGAGGTTATTTTGGGCACAGGTACGTACACTCTTAACATCAGTGGTTATTCAGCAGGAATGCCGTTCAAATAAAAGCCGCATATAGGAGTAATAATTTAACATGCTATGTTAAAGTGTACATTTCCTAGTGTTACATTCCCTGTATTGTTTATTTAGTTATAATAATAACAATAATAATAGTAATCCTTGCATTTGAACGAGTGCCTTTAACAACAAAACATTTGGAAGCAATTCACAGGGATTTTCAGTCAAATGCAGTGATTGTGTTTGTCAGCAAACATGGCAGTCGTTTTGTGAACAGTGTGTCACAAACAGCCATGGTCAATTTATCTGGAGCATTGTTGGCCAGGATACCGGAGAAACAGGCAGAGACTAGGCACAAAATGACGCAGCAATTCAGTTTGTGATTCAGTAAACTTCAAACATGAATCAGTGTTTAACTGTATCTTCATGAGCCAGGGCTCACTGACTTTGCACAGAAATAATTTGGCATGGAATAAATAATCCATCTTTCCATATGGATTTTTAAGTTGACACCCGGGTTTGATTCCTGACAGGGCGAAACCTTGGGCAAGTTTCCTTACTCCAGAAGCCTAATAATAATCCCTCAAGAAAAAAAATAATAAATTGGTCACTTCAATCCACGACTGTTTGTGGGACACTGCTGTGTGCAATTGGCTACCGCGTTTCACCCACAATTTTACAGTATATTCTGTGAAGTGCTTTAAGACGTCTCAAAGACGTGATAAGGCACTATATGAAATGCACGGATTATTATTATTATTACTGGGCTTGTGTGCTTATTATAACAAACCAGGCTGTGGGATATTGAGAACTTTTCCTTCTCTTTTAAGTAAGAAGGTATATATTTCTCCAGATACAGAGGATGTTTTGCCAATGCTGAATACCAGAATTTGATTGATTTAAATTGGCAGGAGAGTGTGCATTTTCATTTCATGTAGAAAAATGGGCTTATCGTGACTTTTAACCTGCAGCTACTCTCACGGGATCAGCTCAACCCTTCTTCAAAATGAGCTGTATTTAAAAGTTTGTTAAAATCGAACCCAATTATTTCTGTTTGCACTGGCCATGACAAGCTGGACTCGATCATATTATGTTACAATAGCTCAGTGTTCTTGCAAAGGCACAAACTGTCCCACATCAATTTTATTCTATATAATTGTTGAGTTGCAATGGGCACTGACCCCAGTCTGTCCGTTAATTCAGCCAGGGTATACAGCAATTATTTTTTGCTTTCAGCGTTTTGTTTATCAGCGGCTGATCAACCAGTCAGTAACTAGAGGACATCAATTTGACATAATTACTCCAAAAATATTAAGAAGGAGGCCAGGAGATTTTTTTTGCAATACTTAGGGTCTTTAATACATGGACTTCACTACCTCTTAAAAGCGAATTTGACAAATATTAAATAAATATTGAAAATGGAAAGAAAAATATAAAAGGTTATGTGGATAGGGGCATGGGGGGAAATTAACTGGATAATGGCAAATATTTTTAATTTAAAACACAAGCCTCTGCTCCAACAACTGACAATTTAGCAACTGTGCCTGCAAGAAGCCAGTCCTAATAAGTGAAATTGAGGCACCCACAGACGAGGTTCATTCAGTCAATAACAACAAATTACATTTGTATAGCGCCTTTCATGTCAGGAGGACATCCCTAGGCCTGGACAGTCAGGGATCCACAGTCACTCTGTATGTAGTGAGAGATAGACTGGCAAAAAATCCAAATGATCGGGGCTTGGACAAAATTTACATCACTGTTTGATATTTCTCCCATCTAAGTTATAAAAATTTAAATTAGTAATATTAATACTTGACCTAAATGGAAAAGCTTGAAAATAGTCCATGAATCGACTTGGGATGTCACTAGCCAGGAGAGGAGGGTGTCAGAAACATAGATCATTCTGGAAGTCAATTTTGCACACTGCAATATCCCACAAACAGCCATTAAGCTCTGTATATTCTACCACATTTTCGTGTGTTGTGCCAGTGAGCTTCTAATGCAATAAACTTACTGAATTGACACGATGAGCCGAATGGCCTTCTTCTGTGCTGTAAGTTTCTAACAGAAAGAAGAGCTTTTCACTGTCCTTGTTTTTTGTTTCAGACTGGGCTGCACCTTGCACAAGCGAGGAGTAAGGGTGATCCTCTTTGATATCAGCAAACCCACCGAAGCATTGCCTGACAAAGTAGTATTTGTAAAAGGAGATATCCGCAACTACCGGGAGGTGGAGACTGCTCTACAGAATGTAGATTGTGTCTATCACATAGCTTCATACGGGATGTCTGGTAGAGAACAGCTAAACAAAAGGCAGATAGAGGACGTCAATGTGAAAGGGACTGAGCACCTGATCCAGGCCTGCCTGAAGAATGGAGTACAAAGACTGGTTTACACAAGTACTTACAATGTTGTGTTTGGGGGTCAAACCATTAAAAATGGGGACGAATCCCTTCCTTACTTACCACTGCACCTTCATCCAGATCACTACTCCAGGACCAAATCGTTGGCAGAGATGAAAGTGCTGAAGGCAAATGGCACGAAAGTAAAGAACAAGAAGGGTGTTTTACTGACCTGTGCCTTGCGCCCAGCCGGCATCTATGGGCCTGGTGAGCAAAGGCACCTTCCGAGAATAGTCCACTATATAGAGAGTGGAATCTTTAAGTTTGTGTACGGAGCAAAGGATAGTCTAGTTGAATTTGTCCATGTTGACAACCTGGTCTCTGCTCACATACTGGCATCCGAACACCTTTTGGCAGAGGGAAGTCACACAGCTGCGGGTCAGGCTTATTTTATATCTGACGGCAAACCAGTGAACAACTTTGAGTTTTTGAGACCTCTGGTGGAAGGCCTCGGTTACAGGTACCCCACAGTTCGGCTGCCACTCGCCCTGATCTATTTCTTTGCATTCCTCACAGAAATGGTTCATTCTCTCGTGAGCCCCGTTTACAACTTCCAACCGCTTCTCACCCGCACAGAAGTCTACAAAACCGGAGTCACTCATTACTTCAGCATGGAGAAAGCCCGCAGAGAGTTGGGTTACAGACCGCTGGAGTTTAGCCTCAGGGAGGTAGTCGAGTGGTTCAAAGCTCGTGGTCACGGTCGCGACCAAGCCACGTACGGTGTAAAACATTTTCTACTGAATGTGGTGTTTTTTATATTGTTGTCTGCTGTAATATTGTCTTGGCTCCCGGGAGTTTCATCCTAACTCATGTAAGCATTATTTTGAGTTTTTCCTAAGGTGATGTTTTCATAAGGTCATTTCAGGACATCATTGATGGTACGTTTTTCACTTTCCCGTAGAGTAAGAGAAATTACAGCAGAGGGTGATTCATAGTCATTCAGCCTAAATTGGTGCTAGCTTCCCTCGAAGAATCCCTGGGAGCTCTATTTAACAAGTCTCTGCTCTTACTCTATACCCTCTTGTATTCCTTTAACCGCTTTTAATGGAGAAGAGTGATAGCATCACTATACTCCTTGTGGCTGTTGAAAAATTTCCCTGTTAAAAAGTGGTGCCACATTAATGTTAGCCACACCGTTTTTGGGACCACACACAAAGTATAGTAGTTGTGTAGAGTTTGAAATGAATTGCACATGAGAAGTTAGATGGACTTGTGTATTCGTCATTGTTAAAATCTCCACCGAAAACTGAACTCCACCACAAATCCTGTAACAAATTTGAGCAGCACGTACAAAGCTATAGGGTTTCTCAGAGAATAAAACGGGTTCAATGTTGATTGGATCACAGTGTGGAATTAAGCTTCTTGCTGAGTTACAAATCAGTCTGTAAGTTGTTGCACAGCAACATGCTCCAGCTTCATTCTACCGCATGTTGCCTCTTGCTCAGGACAAGCTGAGATAGAGTCTCTTGGCAGGTTGTAGTTAGTGCTGTACAGGTAGCTGACACCTTCAGTGTGAGCCAGTAATAATAATAATGTATGGTACTAAGCACCTTTATTTTAGCAAACTGACAGTAATTTCAAAAGGTTACAGATTTGAATCATGCTTTAAGAATTTGTAAATCTTAGAACTAACCTACTTTATAGGCAGAGCAGTGACATAGACACAGGGACGTCCTAAAGCGGAAGTTTCTTTGAAATCCCCAAACACATCTGTTTCTTTGGAAAGTGTGTTTTAAGATTGTTAATGCTGTATGTAAATGAAGTGCCTTGATTCACAAATGTAATATTTTTCTCTTAGTAAAAGGATACAGTTCTGGTACCTTTAATGCACTTTCCTTGAATACTTTGTACGAAATGTTTTAATTTTACTACTACTAAATCTATGGTGAATAATGGTCCATTTTGTAAGTCAAATGACATTTTTATTATGTTTATAATGATATCTGCAACTACCATATTCTGTTCTTTTGCATAATAGGCTTTAAATGACAACTTTTGCACACATTAAAAAGTTAAACAAAAACTAGTGTTTGTGGTTTCTTCCATTAAACCTCCATTAATTTGTACTGATTTTATTAGGATGTTTGTCTATCTATCCTGTTGATACCACCTCAGTCAGCTCTGTATACCACTCCCTATCTCTTTGTATTATATTTCAATTTGTTTCATTTCTGTATTTTTCATAATTCTATAAATTCTTCCTTTTTAATCTCCAGCTTCTGCGGTTACCCAATACTTTATCTCTCGGTGCACAGACTTTTATCTTTATTTTCTCTGATCCCAGCTGTTTGCCTGAATGTGATTTGTTCACTTTTCAACATGGTTAACAGTTCATTCCCACTGTGTCTGACTTGTCTGTCTCCCATATCTTGTCTTATTATAAAATGCAGTACAGCACTTGCATTTGATATAGCACCTTGTCATGTCGAAACATTTCAAAACACGTCACCCACTTTCTTTGATTTGCACTGATTGCTAGCCAGGCAGACAGTGAAGCTAATCTGTGCCACAAACAGTGAAATGAATGACAAACAGTCCTTTTACGTGGGGAGTGAATTATGTTTCTCATTTTCCCCCTTGCTTGGCTTCAATTTGATAACTTCTGCACACTTACACATTTGGCAGTTTTGATTTGCTTGAAAGCAGCACTAGGTGTTCACTGAGTTTCCAGGCATCGTGAGGTGATTTCTGATCACCGAAGAACGAGCTCTACATTGGACGGCCACCTGAAATCTACTACCTCTACTTCATAATGGATGCTTCACAACTGCAACTGTGACTTTTACACTCTCCCTTCTTTCCAAAGTTAACAAAGACTGGAGCTTGTGCGCACGACTGGTCAGAATCAACCCTGGATTTGCTCCTTGCTTGTTCAAGCCTCCGTTCCACCATCGGCAGCTGCGCTTTCAGCCAGTCTGCCCCAAGACTCTGGAACATGTTTCCACTATCCCTCCACCTTGCTCCCTCCTTCCCCATTTTCAGGTTGCATCTGAAGGCCTTCCTCTTCGACCGTGCCTACGGTCACCTACCCCTGGCTTGGTGTCATTCTCCGCCACTTGTTCTAGTTTTCCTGTAACCTTATCGAAAAGATCACAGTGGGCTCCCAGCCCGATGGGCCATCTCAGTGCGGTTGAGTTGACTGCCTTTCAAAGTTGAGCGCAATCCTATTGGTAAATTAACCTCAAACACTCCTAAGAGCAGTGGCAACATTAAACCGAAGTGTTTCTTTTACAGCATCTAGAACAGTCAGCACATAACGTGTGCCACCATAGCTCTTCGCAATACTTGGCAGTAAATATTAAGAATACCCTGAACGAAGACATACGCACCAAATATCAATCTTTATTTGCACACGTTAAATAATTGACAAAAAGAAGCAACAAAAAAAAATTCATAAATGTTCAGATTCACACATTTCCCCTTTACACAATCAATCTCACTTTTGGAAGATAAGTTAAAATTATCTACGTTTCCCTGTTTTGCAACGGGGAGAAAATAAAAACGCTGGACCCATTCCACCCACGTGTAAAACCGGGATTCATTGCTATTGAAAATGTTTAGCTTTCCAGCCCGCCACTTGTATTATCTGATTACTTATTGCATACAGTACTGTTACTTCCAGTTCTGAAACACTAGCTGTGTAAGGATACTAAAGCAACCCCAGTTCACCATTCGAAAAACAATCCAACAAAAATAAGACTTTTTTTTCTTTAGCACTGAATTCATCGTATCTAAAAATAAATTGTCTCGCTTCGTCATCGAGCCATTAAAAGCATCTCCCCTACTGTATCACTATAAGCCATACAAACCAGAAGATGCAAAACCCTGGCTAGCTTATCTCAATTAGGTATAACGAGAGGCATTGCAACTTGACCCAGCCATAACTTAGCCGATATATATTGTTGTAAGGATTAATACAGAAAAACTGGACCATCTGGGAACACAACAGTTTTAGCATAACCGATTGTAATATATATTTATTATATACATTTGCCCACTTGGGGTATAAATGATATTTAGTACTGGCACCTTTAAGAAAATGTAAATGCATTGACCCTCCCACAAACAATACGCTAAAGTGGCACAATGATCAGGTGTGAGGGCTTTTCTTTCACAATTTACCTGGATGAAAGATGATACATCACAATTTTACAACAGAATGAGAAAATCTCAACACCCTAACCTCAGATTGTTTTAAAAATGTCAGGGGTGATTACATATTGTCACTGTAATTTGTGTTGTGCTTTTAACATTTATTTCTAAGGAATTAAACTCAGGCTTTTGAAATGTTACAGGACAAGACGCACCAGGTGTAGAAAGTATTTGGATTCGAATGACCTTAAATCCAATTGAAAATGTGGTCCCCCAAAAGGTTAATTAGAAAAAAATAAACCCCTTACTGCTAAATGAAGTGACTTTGATAGGCTTACGATTTGGTAGACTTCATTGTAATGCCATCAGCAACACGAACAAGTGCAATTAGCAAATAGCTGATGGTTTGGTCCAGATGGTTTCTAGTATTCTGGAAGAATGAAATCAAATGGGCCAATGATATTCATCATCTCAACTTTTCTTGTGTAAAATATATTAATAATGCAAGTTATTGGACTTAGGGACAAAAGGATTTTTTGTCTTGGGTGACAAGTTACAAACAGCTCTGTGCAAAGTATGACAAGAGTCGACACACACTGTGTCTTTAGCATTTATGCAAAAATGGCAATATTTAATATTTTCAGCATTAAATTAACCAAAACCATTCCAAAATAAATGCCGAAGAGGTTAAAAATTCACTTTCTGGTTAAAACAGGACATCAATAAACAGGACTTGTGCTGTATCTTATTTGACCATAGAGTTAATGCCGAAATTCCCTAATGAGAGAGAGATAAGAATGAGAGAGCCCTGTCGTAGGTTGAAGGCAAATGGAGAAGTGGTCAATCTTTTTCACAGTAATTCATAACAGTAAATAAAGTTATTATATCCTAGATCCCAATTACTCAACACTAATAATTGGGTGTTACGCAATGGATCCAATTGATGTGTCGCTCAAGTATTGACCGTGGATTTCAAACGCTGTTGATTCCTTCCTGCGTAGCAAATGATATTTCTTGATGTACAGTACAAATGACATTGATGATGGTATCAAGGACAGGACAAGGTGGCAGACTTGATTTATGGATAGAATTTGCTACTGTTGTTGGATTTCTTGTCCTTAACTCTGAAAAAGAAATCATCAGAAGGCATAAAATTACTTTGGCTTCCTGCACATTATTCAACCTGTGCCTTGATAGCTGATCAAGATTTTCCAAAGAAACTAGGGCATTGGATCATTTCAAAGCAGCCCCAGTAACAGCAAGCTGACATTTCGCATGATCAGTGCTATCGTGAGCAATTGCAAGCAGCGAAACAATGAGACTACAGGACATGAAAGTATAACTTTCCCCTGTTCGACGACAAGCAAAAGTTATTAAATGACAAGTTCGCAAGAAAAATTCGGACGAAAAAGTCTGCACTTGATCTCGTCCTCCCAACCCAACCCTCTCCCTATTATAGTATCAAGATATTTCTGAAAAGAGCCACTCCATTGTCCTGGCCCTACCTGGTAACCATTTTGAGTCAGTCTTCACTACGTACTATACTTTTTTTTAAAAAAAGCACAAATTTAATCAAATTGCTAATGTGAAACAGGTTTGGGCTGGTGACATGTTGAATATGATGCTCTTGCCCTTTGCTGAATTCCCATCCATAGGGACAATCCAGGGTCTATAATTTATGGACTTATAAAATTCCATAAATTAGCCGAGGTATTTTCACATTTTTTTGCTTGGACCTAACTACACCAGGCCTGTCAACAACATTGTAGAGCATAAGAATAAAGTTGCAGATGTGAAGCCAGCAGTACCAAATATAGGCGAAAACACATTAATATCTAAGCAACTGGTGCTCATTAGATATAATAATAATCCTTGCATTTGATACAGCGCCTTATTACATCTTCGAATATACTGTAAAGCGAATTGACTGCATATTTTATGGGCGATGAATTATCTGTAAGGCTACAGTAGATGGATTGAGAAAATGTCTTTTGTATCTCTCACATACCTCCTCTTTGGAACTTCTGGAACCTGCTCTCTGTAGCCCACGCCCCTGAACGCAGGTTGTACGTTGGGTTCATACACAAATGGTTCGATTTGTCGCTGTCTAGGTCCAGTCGTACCGTACAACCCTTCCACTAGCCGCTGTCTGTTTGGAGCACTGTCGTACAACCCTTCACCCGGTCGCTGCTGTAGTTGCTGACGGGAGGAATAAAGTTCTTCTTCACCCTCCTGGAAAATAGTAAGTGGAGTTTCTTTATTGATTTGTTTTAAACAAAGTACAAGTTACTATTTCTGCCTTCTACAGTAATTGTATCACTTCACTGACCCTTGGAGATCATGTAACCCTCAAGCAAATGCAAAGCAAATTACCAAAATAAGTCTTAGAGACACTGAAACAGGAGAATGCCATTCGGGTCATCAATCCTACACCATCAGAGGTTTACTTCAGAAGATGTTATCCATCTACTTTGTCTTGTGTGGACAATTGAAAGAAAAAAGTACTCATGTCCCCCCCCCCAATAAAGATTGCTCCATGAAGCTAATTATAATATTAACAGTCCATAGATGACATTACCTCCTTTAAATAAATTAATTCAGTTATAAAAATGCACAGTATTTACCCCGAGCTGATGCACTTTACATTGGACAAGAAGAGTTGCTAATTCAAGGTCTTCATTGAATCCATTTTTCAGAGGAATAGCTCTGAACCCTATGGGAGATATGTAGAACAAGCATTTGTTAAGTAATTCTGCAAACAATTTGTCATTAAAATAGATCAGCATTTGAAGACATTGACCAAGTTATCTCGGTTAACTTGACAATTTTGACCACTTCTAATTATTTTCATTGTTTGTTCTTTTTCTTTCTCTCTTTCTCTCTTGTCTCTCTCATTTCCCTCGGGATTCCACTGGAACTAAATTGAGACCTTTTGTTGGAATAAAGAGTGTCACACTAGATCACATCTCTTTCCTGAGACACAGTGACCTTAGACATTACCATACCACAAGCAGCAGTAGTTTGTCATCAGAACTAAAATAAAATACAGTAAAGCTGCCTGGGGACTTAATTCATCTCTGGACCAGGGTATGCATTGACTTCACATTGTGCCAGGACTGGCAGATGTATGATGCAATTCTGCTACTCGCCGAAAAGTTTGAACAATATCGGTTTTATTGTTGATTCCTGTGTGAGCGTTGAAGAAGCTTCAAATAGCCAAATTACTGCTTTGCAACATGTGAAAGGCCGCCTTCCGCGAAACCTCAATTGTATTCCTGACACACCTGCCCTTGAGCTGTCTCGCTGACTGTTGTTCGAAACACACAGGATCAGTCTTCAGCACATACAGCGGTGTTATTTGGATGCATGACAAATACAGCACAATACTTATTTTAAATTTAACCTGTAAGTCTGCACTGCAACAAGTGTGCCCATCTGTAAGTGGGCTGAATAGTGACAATTTCAGCAGCGCTGATTGCTTTGATCAGCATATTTTTCAGTATGATTCATCCCAAATAACTACGTCAGTCACAATGTTGTCTCGACCTTAAACGGAGAAGGGTGATAAGATAACTTTTAAAATGTGAATGGGTAAGACTGACCTCAGAATGGCAATATCGGTGTTCAAGGGAGTGTAGGCATGAAATTCCAACTAATCCTAACCTGTAAAGTCATTTTGTTTTAAAATTCCTCACCCACAATTATGATCGCTTATAACCCACACACAAAAAGAAAACTCCTGAATTTATCTTCCGTTCAACTAACCCGTCTTGATCGCTTTGATGGGGTAAGTGGCATGTGCTAAAAAGTTCGGATCACTGAACATATCCTCTTCATAAACGACAAAGCGAAGGAAAGCCAAAGAGGGATCTTGGACAATAAATTCTTCATTGATTTCTTCCGGTCCTCCCAGCCAAACTGGGTTCAGTCCATTGTCATCTGAAATACAAAGAGGCACACGATAAAACTTATTGCAACTCATGCATGAGGCGTTCCCTCTGAGACGGCAAAACTTTTCCGTCCCTTTGTCATTGGAAAATTGAAGGCAGTTTCATCAGAAGTGAAACAAAAAACACTCACGTACAATTTAGTGAAATCATTTTTGATAAAAGCGCTTCAAGACACTATACCCGGCGTGAAGGGTGCTATGTGGATGTAAGTTGTGGTCGATGTTGTTGATTGTGTTGCAATCTACAAGTGCAGCAAACTCTGCCGCTGTAAGAATCATTCCGCACGTTCACACTTACTCATCACTACTGTCTTGACCTTCTTGTTGTCATTGTCACACCCACACAGCTCCACTTCTACAAAAGGACAAACTATACTCCTGCCTGGTTTGGGTAGATGTCTAGCCCCGAGAATCTGCGGAGACAATGAGAATAAGAAACACACGTAAGACAATGTGCCTAAAATCCACACATAAGTATACGTGATGGAAGTCCGGGACTTGACACTTCAGCGCTGATGAACAGTTCCGCCACAAACTTGACATTTTCACCTGTAGGTGATGAGGCAATGACTAGTTTGGGTTATGAGCCAACATTAGTTAACATTGGAAACCCAGCCCCGACTATTCAACAGGACATGGGAACTAATAGACACCTGAAGACCTGTGAGCAGCCTGTTAAGGTGGGTTGGGATTTTAAGGTTTCTCCCCACCTCATAACAAAGCTCCGTTGTGTCAGCAATAACCAGTGATCACTCGGCATTTCAGACCACTGTTTCCTAATTTAATTCAAAAGCTCTAAATCTAAGAACAAGCTGTGCTTAGGATGGAGTAGCTCTCTTTGTCTCTCACTTTCTGTGACTCTCTCTCCTTGTACTTTTATTGCCATTACATCGAAGAACTTTGCATTTCTTTCTCAAGCCAAGTGACGCATTGCTACTAGACGTGGAATCAATTGGCTTACTTTGATGTTGATGGATTGTGTCCTGTGCTTTGCTGAGTTATCACTCCTCAGTGATTCAGGCTGCAGCAGGAAACCCGTTCTCCCATTCATAGAAAACAAAGCTTGATTAAGTTGCATAGATTTATCTGTAACAGAAATATTCATACAGATTGTAGAAGCAGCCGTGATAGGGGTGGCTTTTCTCTTGAGTGTTGAGGAAGCGGGCTTAACTGACCAAACAACCTTATCTCATTCAGTGCTTTCTTGCGCGCGAGCTAATGCAAGATTTTTTTTAAAAAAAACTTAATTATAAGTCAAAAATCGACATACAATTTATAAAAGGCACACAGGCGCCATCTAGTGGTGTCACCTTGCCAAGCTATGGAAATTATTTAAAAGTGGTCACTCCAAACGATGTCCCATTGGAGTTCACCTCATGTTACGGTTATGTATATAATATATCTATGAAACGGAACATATTGTGCGGACTGTGAAACACAAAGTTTGACTTAGTGGCGAGAAAGACTTCCTTAACTTGCGAGTTACAGTACGAAGACATGGTAAGGCGCTAAATCAAATGTAAGGATTGTTATCATTACTCTTCGACCATGTCTTGCGTTAGCGCACAAGAAAGGCACTGATTGAGATAAGGTTGTTACGTTTCACCCACAACATATACAGTCAATTCACTTTACAGTATATTCTGTGAAGTGCTTTGAGACGTCCTGAAGACGTGATAAGGCACTATATCAAATGCAAGGATTATTATTATTACTCTTCAACAATGCATACAGCCACCTCCCACTTCTCCCTAGCTCAATGTCTGACCCTATGTTTGTGAAGTGTTCCTAGATGTTATCCTATATGGAGGGCGCTGTATAAATACAACTTGTTAATGCTTTCTGCGGATATATTACATGTGGATAAATAAAATAATTCCCTAAAATTGTCCAACGGTTTTCAAGTGCTTAGCTCGTCCTGTGTACCACATTTAATTCAACATCTTGCAGTTGGGTCTTTTTCTATTTCCAATAATGTTATCGTTTTCACAACAAACCTCTTCCCCCAAGCGGCCAAATGGGAACAGGGCAGGTTTTCCAATGAGACGCTGAAAACCTTTTTTTTCCCACAGTGTCAAAAGGAACTGCGAGTTACAATGACCCAATGGGGGGAGGGAGAACTTACCTGGCGTTTGAAAGTTTAGTGCTGCCATTTGACATCCGTGTTGCCACAGGATAAGTGGATCGTAGTTGGAGGAGTCAATGCGTTGGCCTTTGGGGTAGATTCGGGACAGCTGTCTACGGTTGTAATCTCGGAATGCTTTGGACTTCTGTTTAATGATGGCTTCCACCTTGTTTTCTGCAAACGATCTGATTTCCTTGTAATCAACGGCATCTTCAACAAATGAGACAAAAGAGGCGATATTGTTGGCGCGCAATTTGAAACAGATTGATAACAAGATATGTTTTATACGGTTAACCATTGACCATACTAAAAATATCGGCAAATATCAGTCAAATCAGTGGCTAAAACTACAATCCATACATTACTGGATTATAACAGAATTCTCCATTGTAAACAAATAATGATAATAATAATTCTTGCAATAGCAACTTTCACATCTGGAGAACATCTCAAAGCTCATCACAGGATTTCCTACAACGTGGAGTGTGTTGTATTTTGTAGGTGTAGTAATGCCAAATGGGACATCACAGGCCATTGATGGATTTTGTTTCACCTCTTCAGTATAGATATATTCTCTTCCTCATCCAAATGCAGTCCAAACACTGCAAATGAATTGGCTGCTTATCTCATTGTTGTGAGCAGGATATTACTGGTGCAGATTCACTGCCACCTTTGGCTACATAGCACATTCACTTCATTTCTAATCAATCTCGTTCTGTAAAACACTCTGAGATGTGGCCTTTATGTGAAAGGTGCTGTGTAGAAATCATCATCCCTGTAAATGGGCACCAGTTTGAAGGATGGATTGAGTGAAATCAATTTAACACACTAACCAAAATTTTCCTTATTCTTTGCTGGCCGGCAATACACAACCAGATCAGAGAGTTCCTTGGCAATCTGCTGTTTCCTCTCCATTTGGTTCCGTTTCTGCTCCTGTTAAAGACAGAGTTGGGAAATTGGTTTCTGCTGCATTGACACAGGAGAAGATTTATGCCCTGCAAATATGCACTGCATCTAATGTCCACGGCACCTAATAACCAATACCTTTTTTTATTTATGGTACTTTTCTCCTCATTGTCCTGTGTCTATGACACCTATTGATCCAATTTCCTGCCAATTGATAGGCATTTGATGGATTTTGTGCATGACTTGCTACAGAAAGTTCTGATATACATATTGATCACCTCATTAAGCTATTTTTGAGATATTGCACTTTTGCTCTGAGCAAAGTCAGCGGAAAACCGTACTACAAGTTTACCAGTGATAAATTAAGGCTTTGGAACCAGATTACACATGTGCATTTGGAAAATCGTAGTGTCAAAGCCCAACAATCACTCAGTCAAGGAATCTGCAGACATAAAACCAGAAATACAGCAACACTTACAAGTATAATAGGATTATACCTAATACCCAGTTAACACTGACTGTTGTTTACCATTTCCAGCAGTGAAGCACTTAAAAGTGAGAAGCATGAATAATGTCATCAATTACAAGGAGAGCTGTGGACATACACATCTCAGCTCGTGTCCAAAGCTTTGTTAACTAGTGGGTTGGTTTTTAATGTCAGTAAAATGCAGGTTACGTAACTGGCTCTTTAATAATAATTATAAATGGTTCCTTAAAAGTTCCATCCAAAACCTCCTGGGCCCTATGCATTGAAATAAAGTTTGGCCTTAAATTAATGAGACCTAATGCACCGAGATTAAATAGGAAAGTGGAAGTGGGGGATAATTGGATAATTGGGAACACAAAGATGTGGAATCTAGATTTCAAACTCTCTGAGTACGCTACCCTTCGTGGAGGGCGCTATATAAGTGCAAGTTATTGTTGTCGTTGTAGCTATGTTTGGATCAGGCATTTCACACAGTAGGAGTAAAGAAGAGGGAGGGAGGGAGAGAGGCTTCAAGGGCAGAGTTGATGTACTTAAGAGAGAATTAGACAAACACAAGCCAGAGAAAGGGTGTTAGAAGATACAGGGAAAAACAGGGAATTGGGATTAGGATAGATTGTTTGTGCAGAAGGAAACACTGACACGTAAGTACTGTTGTACATTTCTATAGTGTGCTGGAATTCAGTGCTGGGGTCAGAGGAGAATTTACATGATATCGATTGTATTAAAGAGATACAGACATATTTGGTAACTACAAGATAATAGTTTGTTCCAATGGTTAGTTGTTACTCCAGTTCTGAAATTATCTGACATGTATAAATTGGCCTTCCTGTTAGTTGTGCTGTACAATAAAATTATACACACCGTCGGTACAGTATTTGCTTTCCACCACGAGGTGTCAACAGCACTATTATTCCACAATGTTCTTACATAGTTTGGGGGAAGAGTATTTTTGCTGCACTATGCTTAATTCAACGTGGCTCATTGAATCCAATATTAGTATCTCGGAAATGAGACATCAGTGGGTGATTCTTAGCTGGTTGTTAAACCTACCGATTCTGGTGGAGTAATTTGGACAGATTATAAATCTATCATCGCTCACACATGGGAAATTAAGCCACTTTCAACTGCGTGTGGCCAGGGGAAGCAGATTTGCTCGGCAGACAAACTACATAATCTAAAAACTGCATGAAATACTTTCACAGTCCAGGATTGAGGTCGAAGTGAGTGTAATAGTGAGGAGTTTTGTCCTTGGACACCAAGCTAGGGTGAATAGTGGAGAGGTGGGTTCCAGATAAATAGTCTCAAGTTTCGGATGGATTATCTTTGGGGGTCAGACTATCTAGGTGGATTTTTCTCCCTGGTGATAGAGTGACTGGGCACAAACCACAGCAGGGTAGGGTTTACGAAGTCTGTGGAAAGGGCAATCTTGATGTTTTGTCTGGGGCAACCTCGTTCCTTTCTTTCTCATGTTCTAACTCAAATGGCTACCTTCAACTTCCCGTTGTTAATTCAATGAAATAGAATCACTGGGTGACCATGCACTAATGTGACAGGAACCCACACTCATCAGTGTTCATCAATTTAAATCGTCCACACTGGTTGAACCATCAGCCCTCGGGGAAGGAGGAAGCTGGGATATGTGTTGTGCTAATTATCACTGGTGTCAATCACAGGAACATAGGAAAAGGAGTAGGCCGTTCAACCCCTCAAGCCTTTTCCGCTATTTCACACCTGATCTGCACCTCAACTCCAAAGACCCGCCTTTGCCCCATATCCCCTGATACCCTCATCCCAGAACAAAATGCACTCCGCATTTCCCCCACGCTCCTTTATTTACAGTTTTATTCTTTCTATGTTCTCAAGACACCGTCTGCCCAAGACAATACCTGCTGTACTTTTTTCTGGCAGCTCTTTATGGCCTCATTGTACCATATGAACATCTCTTCCACTGTATCAGCAGCGAGGTCAAGCGACAGGCCATTCTCCTCCTCTTTAGGTACGATGGTAAAGACAAAGCTCATTCCATTCTTGCCTGATGCCTGCCTCACTGTTAAAGCAAAGCAAAATTTCAGCTCTTACTGTTTTCTTGTACACGAGAAATGCAAAGCAAATGAAGCTGCTTTTACAGTTTAGCGCAGGAGGGAGGGAGAGTTTTTATTTGCCAATCCTTGGGTTTGCAGTTTTCGTTCCACATATCACAAGATCGTGAGCGAGCTTTGAATGAAGAAGCCCATTCGGTCTTAGGCCCATTTGTTCTCACCCTTCCAGAATGCCCACCCAATTGTCCTCCCATTACACTAGCAAGCTGTTTCTTAAATGAGTCCAGAGTCCCGGCCTCAGCCACCCTTCCTGTTCCAGATATTGAACGGACGACATTCTGTAAGTCACGTCCTGACATCATACCCTTAATGCAAGGCCTTTGAAATTTTTCTTGGACTGATCAACCAATAATAAAAATACTAATAATAATCATCCTTGCATTTGATTCACATTGTTGAGATGTCTCAAAGCGCTTCACAGAATATATTGTAATAATAGTAATAATAATAATCCTTCCAAGTGAAGGATTTACATTCACAAGAGCACGTTATTGTACTGCTCAAATCAACCCATACATACCAACATTGTAGTTAACCAGCTCCACAACTGCCCTGCACATTACTCCTAGGGGATTATCCTCTGTTATCTGAATAACAAAGACATGTTAAAAGAAAAAGATGTCAAGGTTTACAGGTATTGGGTCAGAAGTTGTGGGTTCAAGCCCCAGAGCCCAAGCTGACACTCCAATGTAATATTACGCTGCATTGTCAGTGGTGCCGTCCTTCAGATGAAAAGTTAAACCAAGGTCATGTCTGCCGGTTCACATGGATGATAAAGATTATTTCAGAAGTGAAGAGAATTTCTCCTGGTTTCCTGGTCAACAATCCTCCAGATAAGCTAGTCATCCAAGTCATGGTTGTTTGCAGATACCCAAATTGGCTGCCATATTTGCCTATAAATACGCAGTCACTACACTTTCCAGCAATCACTGTGCCCCACAAACAGTCTTGAAGCGAATGAGACCAGGGCTAAGTTCGCTATTGACTTTTATAAGATGTGTCATGGGTTGATTGTTAAACTCATCAGCAATGCTACAAGATCTTGGCTCGGCGCTAACATTTACAATTAGTTCCTTTATTTTAACGATGTTCCGTACAAAAATATGGGAGCAGAAATTAATCCGAGATATCACAGCGAGTGATAACAGCACACTTCCCACTAATGGCTCATTTTTCACATAACTTCACAAGACACTCTCTCGTGTGCTGGTTTCGGCTATGAAAGGTTTTGGATGTTGCAATTGACTGTATATAGTTCTCAAGCTGTTAATGTTTACCGACAGCAACGCAGACACTGCTAGAATCATGCTTTCACAAGCAGGTAACAGTATTTTCATCTACACAGCTGCAAAATGGCCCCTGGAAGGGAATTGTGGAAATGAAACAAGGGTGATTCATTTACAGGACAGAGTTGATACCATTTAATTGGTTACAGGTATAAATTCATCAAAACACTCCAGCATTTGAGATCATAAACATACAAGTAACTGACAGCAGTAGAGGTTACCGATTCTTACCTGATTACTTATGTCCTCTTGAGTGTTAGAGGCTAATTCTTCCACATAGTTAGCTGGGAATAATTTCTGGATTTGATCCCCATAGTCCCCCATCCACCTAAATAGAAGATTTTAATACAGAATGTTATTGAGCTTTTTTGCGAGAAATCTCAGTGTTTGTTTCTTTCAATGTTCTGCGGGTTTGTGGTGCACTGAGAGAACAAGGATTGTTTGTTTTCAGAGTCACTGAGATGGAATTCATAAGCCGTTGAAGATCTTTGACTTCAAACGCGCTGACTGACTGAAAGAGCCACAGTATGAGAGCTGTCTGATTGAAAGAAACGTAATGATTATATAGAGAGTGATTCCAAGGGATTCAGTGAACATTAGAAATAGTGAGAATAAAGCTTGAGTTATTCACTGCCACTGTATTCCAAGTTCTTCAATAAAGTTAACACACAGCCCTCTAAAAACTCATAGGTGGTCCATCGAGTTGTAAAGCACCATTACTGAGCAACCTCCAAATCTCCGTTCTGTTTCACATCTACTGCATTTTATTATTGGTATTATTATTAATTAGACTGCGATGTTATGAATCCATGCTCTGCCTTTTTTCACAGTGGATCATAGTAAATGAGAACGGAAAGAGCTGCAGTAGGTGAGAGGAGAGAGAGACTCGAAGAGGGAGAAGGAGTAAAATTAGCCCAGCCCAGTGCGAAGTCGAGTCAGCAGGCACAAGATGAAGAAACGTAGCTCACCATCCATGGTCGGTCTTTTTGACATTGTGGATAATGGCGCCTTTGGGAAAAGTCAATTCATCTGCCTGTTGACCCTGATATTCGTACAAAGATTTTACTGTACCCTGGGAATGAAAACAATCAAACTAATTACATTTGAACAGCTTCAGAGAGAATGGAGAGCATATAGAGGAGGATATTTTTCTCTCAGTTGCTTGGCTCACTGGATTATCTGAACAGAGATTATTGTGTCATGTTTTAAATTCTTTTGACACATCTGGTTTTGTAGTATGAAGTCATTTTTTCCTGGAAACTTTGACCTCAACTGGCTTAGTGCCACCTCACAAGAGGTCAAATCGAAGCTCAGTAATAGCAATCAGAGACAGAGCTGTGCGGATTTACTAAACAGTTGCTTTGAACACATCTCATTTCATTTCGTTTCAGAAACCAGAGCGCTCAAGTGCTTATTTTTCATTGCTGTTTGAAGAAGGACTAAAAACCACATTTTTTTCTTTTTCCGCGGTTGCGTACAAATGGCTGCCAAAGAACTTAACTGGCTCGTGCAACAAGGTTTCAGGCAGGTTTCTGTGCTAATCAGAACTAAACAAATGACTCAAAAAGTGTATGTTGACTCTGTAAGCATTAACGTGAATATTTTGTGGGGAGGGCGCATTGAACCCTAAAAACTGACACGGATCATTGAAGAAACATTAACAGAAAGTTAAACAGCTTCATCCCCCCCACACAACCACTGTTGTTTTCAGGACATTGCTGGCACAAATTAGTTTCCTCCATCACATTCACTTCATGCCTAATTCGTCTCGTTGTACAAAGCGCTTCAAGATGTCTCTTTTGCATGTTAAGTCGTTATTCCTGGAGGATTCTCATTTGCCCTACAAATCCCTCTGTGTTGAATTCGTTCACGCAGATTCTATCTTCTTAAAAGAAGCAAAAACAAAGGAGTTGGAAACTCTTGGAAAAAAACAAGTAAATTTGTTTTTCTCGAATAACTCCTCACAGTTTTATTGAGCAATAAACATAAGCTTGTGTGTATATGCTTGGGGAGTTTGTAAACAATTCAAAGAATTTGAGGACTTGCCATCCAATGGTGGGATGTGACTTTCAAGTCCTTAAATCAACCAACTAATCTCTAGTTCTGTAGTATGATATTACATGCAATTGTTTTACTGAAATTCAATTATATCTCCCTAGAGTTTCAGAGCAGTGTTTATTAAGGGAACCATTGTTATGTTTGGATGATTCGAGGAGAGCATTAACTTTGGAAAGTTAATGGCCCTTATGTAAATTATTGTTCGCAGTTTCCTTTAAGGTATTTAATGAGATGAAATTGTCTACAAATACAAAAGAGGAATCAACTTGGAACTGACCTTGGAGAGCAACAATGCTATCAAATTCTGCAGCACATCTTACAAGGGCTCTCGACTGTGTCCAAGCATCACTAAGATACTTTGCCAAAGGGTTGAAAGAATGGCCACAAATATCTGCTTCTAATAATTGTTGACACTCTGAGACGCTACCCCACATGAAAGGCAATTATACATAAGTTGAAAGTTCTTGTGTTTGCAACCATCTTTGCTGGGACGTCCTCCCGACGTAAAAAGCGTTGTACAAATGTAATTTGTTGTTGTTGTTGTCGCTCAAGAAGAATCCTACCTTGGAAGGTGTTAATTCATTTGGGTCCACATAATTTACACCATATAGACATCCAATGTTTTTTTCCTGAAAGCAAAACAAAAGAGCCATTTCAAAAATAAAAAAAGCAACATGAGTTGTTAAGTGAAATGGTTCAAGGGATGAAGAAAAATACTAGGTCCAATTTTGCCCAATCCGTCATTAGTGGTCTCCTTAATGTCAGAGCCCAGGTTGTCCCACCCTCTCAGCTGAAGCAGGAGGCGTGCAATAATCCAGGATCACGTACCGCACTGTAACGCTCGAGCATCTTCTCCGTGACAGGGTAACGCAATTTCATTTTCCTGTATAGCGTGGACTTTCTGTAATAGCTGACAAGTTCGACCAGGCTTTCAAACTCCGCTGAAGCCCCCAGGACATACTTTCCTTCTTCGTAGTTGATACGACAGTGCTTAACCTTTCCTTCAGCTCTGGGTATGGGCAGAATTTTAAAAGTTGATATATATATTTAACAATATAATATATTTATATATATATATGTATGATTCACCTAACTCTTTTTTGCGACATTAAAAAATCGTCCTGACTTTCCTCCTGAACGTCTCACCTGAAAGTAATGGCGTAGGAATTGGGTTCATCTCTCTTTCGAATCAAAAAAGCACCATCTCTGGGTATCCTAAGGAGCATGTCCTCGGCCTCCCCTCGACTTAGGTTTTTGTAGTACCATCTGAAGAAGACAAGTATATGAGTTATGGGACGTTCAGCTTTCTTGCCCGTTATGCCACTCAACTCATGTTTCAATCAAGTCTCTTGTGTGGAAGGTTTTGTGTCTCACGTGATCCTTTATGGATCATGATAATCCACGACATGTCGCCTTTCATACTGGGGGACCATCTCAAAGCACTTCCCGCAGAGTGCACTGTAAAAGGTAGTGATTGTGTATTTTTATCCGTCAATTTGCTCATGGCAAAGTTCCACAAACAGCAATGAAGTGAATGAACAATTTTAAAGCTGGTCAGGCGCCGGGAGAATGTCCCTTTCTCTTTTCGAATATAGCATCCAGGTGTTCTTTAACATCCACGTGAACAGGCAGATGGGACCTCAGGTTAACGTCTCATACAATGACACCACCCCCCCGCACTATGTTGGAGTGACAGCCAAGACGGTGAGTTCAAAGTCCCGACGTGAGAACTCCTTACCGCTTATCGCTTGGCAGCCAGCCCTGTCTGAAGGAGCTGTAGAACCCCTGCAAGTAATTGCTGCTCAAACAACACAGAGCTACACCTCTGCCAGAAAATCTCATAATGGGAATCTCAAGCCACAACACAGTAATAAGATGAGTCCTGCTCTGCTTCAGGAAACCCCACAGGCAGGATGAAAGGGCTTATCCTTTCTCGAGTGGCTGTGTATTGAAAGGCCGGTAGATCTGTATCCACTACGATCCTGTTATTATCAGTCTCTTTTAATAAGTAAGCCTTACACTGCAAAGGAGTTCACAAAAACGATGTGCTTTGAGCGCACTTCGCACACACAAACTGCACGGACAGCTGTTTGAGCTTGGCATAGTAGATATTAAAAGGCAATTGAAAGGGAATGTTCCCTTTGTGCCAATTTCCTCAAATTATATGATGCATCCTTACCGAAAAATATAGTACACTATTACATGTAGCCTTGAAGCGACTGCAAATTATCTTCATAGTCACCACATATAACAACAAGCATCCTGAAGTCGTCATTGTCACCCTTATCACTCAACACTAAATTAATTCATCATTGATAAGGCTAAGACTGTGAGTTTGTTAAAAAAATACAACTGCAAGGGATTTCTGTTGGAAAACTTACTCCTGAGATTCGTGAGGATTCGGGCAAGGGACTGCTTCACTTAAACATAACCCAAATTCACTGCATCGCAATGGCGAGTTCTGATAGTGTTGAACCAAATCGTAAATGTTGGTGAAAGTTAAATTATCGGTCAGAAAATATTTGGTGCTCTCTGCTTCTGTAAACGATCGTATACGACAGTGCTGGACTCTCCCGTTTCTCCTGGTGGTAGAAAGGTAAAAGGGGATTCAAAACAACAACAATAACAACAAATGTATTGATATAGTACCCTTGACATAGGATAACATCTCGGAGCACTTTACAATGCACACATCTATTTTGTCCTAACTCTTCACAGTTTGTCTCTTCACTTTGTGCTAACTTGTTATTCCCTCTCTCTCTCACACACACACACACACACATATAGGAAGCAGCAGTTATCAATACAGCATACGAATCTGGTAAGAAATAATACCAATCCTTGTGTTTAATACAATGCCTTATCACGTCGAAAAGATGTATCGAGGCTCTTCACAGGACTTTATTGTGAAGTGCAGTGACTGTGTACTTGTAGATGAACATGGCAGTCGATTTGCACACAGCAATCACAGCAATGTCCCACAAACAGCAATGAAGTGAATGAACAATATTATTTGAGGGACTGTTGGCCAGGACACTGGGAGAGAGAAATTCCCTTTCAGTTCCAATGATAAGAAAAATCCTCCAGTCAAAGCTCCAAACAGTGACACCAGTGCCAAAGACAACAGGCTCAGTTATATAATATATATTTCAGTTTGTGACTGTATTCATAAGGGAAAGGTACGAGCAATTTTAACCGAGACTCTACAAGAGAAGAGATTTTCATCACTTCTGAACTAATGGCAATATTTCAGTTGCGTGTTCTGATTCTTATTTTGCTGTTTTTATAATTTAATCAAATCAAACCATGGGATGAATCGAACATGCCATTCAACTCGTACAAGACAAAGGCTGCTGTTCATTGATGCTTTCCTGAGGTGGGAATTAAATTCACAAGAGGCAGCAAGTTAACAAAGCATGGAAGCTGCTCATTTAATTTAGCAGAGCCAAACACTAGTTTTGTAAACCACTCCTCATTATGTTTCATTGACTGTGATAATCTGGGATCAAATCTAGTGCAGGGAATGTGAATGCTGATCACACAGTTTTTAACTACTCTACTCCTTGAGTTTTAAGATTGCTCGTCAAAAGCAATGAGATTCGAGCAATGATATTGCTAACAACCAGCTCGTCCATTACTGAACGTTTCGCCCACAAAATATACAGTCAACTCACTTTACAGTATATTCTGTGAAGCGCTTTGAGACGTCTCGAAGGCGTGATAAGGCACTGTATCAAATACTAGGATTATTGTTAGTATATTGAACATTTCACCTGGATCGATGCTTTTAGCGCAGTTCATATTAACAGAGTTTTAAATAAAGATTAGAACAAAGACCAGTACCAAAATGATAACGTGTAGTCTCCTGGGAATGTGTCGCTCTCTCGGACCAAAAATGTTCCGTCTCGTCCCCCCGTCTCCAAACAAACCTCCTGGAGCAGTTTCTCAGCCTTCTGCCTGCCCTCCTTACCCATTTTCCCATGGAACCATTTCTCATTAAAGTGACGATCTTTGCTATTAATATTCTAGAATAAAGGAAAAAAAGGTTATCGTTCATTAAAAGTAGCATTGTTTTATCGTTACGAAAAAGAGAGCAACTGGATATTTATAGCAAACAAGGTTTCATAATTTTGATTCTTGGAAACTCAAGCTTAAGAATATCCAAATCAGACAGAGTTCCACATATGGCACCTACACATGGATCTCCATGTTTGGAAAGGAATACGCACACTCTCCCCAGAGGGTAGCACATACCAAATTCCAGACACTGGACATAGTTTGGCAAGAGCCAAGGCTCAGGGACACCAGAGTGTGCGTTGCAGTACTCCTGGAAGCTAACCAGCAGAAACCACACAGCTTGCCATTAAAAGCATTGTCTGGCAAGATTTCCCGCAGCTCATCCAGTGAGGACCACCCTACACTTTAGGGCTTGGCTTGCAGGTTAATAGGATCTGAGTGGAAAGAATTCTTCCCTCTAGTTACTGGTTTGCCATGGCCTGCCGATATGCCAGGATGACTGGTCTGTCATCAGCAGTGTCCTGGAATACTGCAGAACCAGACTATCGAGACCACCACAGAGGGTGGCTCAATTTCATTGCAAAGCATGTCACCAAGGAGATTCCACTTACCCCCCCACCACCACTACCACCACCAAGGGAAATAAGTTAGGGAGGTAAGGAGGGAGTGAAGAAAGGAGGGAAGGGTGGAGATAAAGTGGAAGGCAGCTTAACTGAAATATACCTGGCTTAAAGTTTTATTTTCATCATCATCATCATCATCATCTGTGGGATCCGTATAGTAGAGTTTGCCATCTGTTATTACACAGTAATGCTTATTCCACATCTGCAGAAAAAAAATCAGACTTTAACACGAGCGTAAATAAGGAATAACAATAAATAAACATTAACTGAACCGCGATATTCATGAGTATCAGGAATTGTTAATTGAAGCAATTTGCATGATGTTTTTGATTCATGAACTTATCGAATTTCACGGCAACTAATTAATTTCAGAAAAGAACCAGTTTGAAATGTTTTGAAATGTTAACGTTGAATCTTAACAGGGCAAAGCACCGCTGGAAATTGTGAAACATATAACGTTTACCAGATCAATTGGATCCAACAAGTAGAGAGACCCCATTTGCTTCTCATAATCCTTCGATGGGTCGAAGACAGAGCTCACATCTTGCCTGATGGTGCCGTCATCTTGCTGAGAATCCAGCTTCTTGTGCTGTGGAATAGTGACAAAACGCTTCAGAACATGTGGAGTCCTGCAGCATGTTGGTTAGAGCACTCGCCTCGCAAAGCAAGAGGACCGGGGTTCGATTCCCGGGTGGGTCAGGGCGAAACCTTAGGCAAGTTTCCTTACTCCACACTCCTGTTTACCTAGCAGTGAGTAGGAACCCTGACTGATCGCTTTCCGGGGATTGTAATCCTTTAAAAAAAATGCAGTGACTGTTCACAACTGTTGTTTTGCACAATTGGCTGTCGCGTTTCACCCACAAAACACACAGTCAATTCAGTTCACAGTATCAGAAGTCGCTGGGAACACTCAGCAGGTCAGGCAGCATCTATGGAAAGTGGAAAATGAATCACTTTTTGACTCACATTCCTTTCTCCACAGATGCTGCCTGACCTGCTGAGTGCTCCTAGCGACTTCTGTTTTTGTTTTCAGATTTCCAGCATCTTGCAGTACTTTGTGTTTTGTTTCACTTCACAGTATATTCTGTGAAGCGCTTTGAGACGGTTCAATGTCGTGATAAGGAGCTATATCAAATGCAAGGATTATTACTATTGTTATTATTATTGTTATTATTAAGGACAGCACAGAGAGAAGTCAGCCCCAGACCCTGCCCCTGCCAGTCCTACACCTCCACAGTGCCCGCAGATTTGGTCATTGCAATGGGAGCCCCTCACCTTGATGATAATTTTGCGTGTCAGCTGAGCGGGGGACGGTAACTGCTCTGCGTTGGCTTCAATGGGTTTGCTGATGAGCATATTCCCAAACGTCTCCTTGAACTTGATGGCCATGTGTCTCTGCTGCTCGATACTGCAGTGCTCTTCGATTGACAGTATGAGTGGGTACCTGGGGAAAGGTCAACGAGCGATTACAACTAGTTAACACTGTTCTTCCGATAGACATCTCTATTAACAGCGCCCAGAGGAAGGTTATACTGAGGCTTAATGTACAATGATTTCCAATGGAATTTTGTAATAAAGAAACAAGTGTGTGTGTGGGGGGGGGTCTTCACTTGGACATAGGCCATACATGTCATGTGGATCTCTGCTCCCAAACTAGATTACTCACTCTAGTTCCCAGAGGCCAGTATGCCTTACATCTGGTATGTGTATCAGGGAAATCCCATTAGATGTCATCATGTATTAGACCCAACCAAGGATCCTGGAAACAGGTCAAAGACTGTCTGATGTAGACTAACATTCCTGCCGCTAATAGCTACACCCTGGCCGATAGAAGCTGAGAAACTCTGACTTCTAAACTCACGACGCCAATTCTCAATGAAAAAGGTCAAGCGAAAGTGAAAGATCAGAGGGGAAGGTTCACGAGGAGCAGGGTTTGGAAGCTCAAGGAAGCTTCCTCGCCAGAGAGGAAACCGCTTCACACCCCCACCCCACCTCCCCACTCCAAAAATATAACCACTGCTAGCAAACTGAGCTCTGCAAAGACATGATAATAAACTACAACATATCAGGATTTCACCTCTCACCCCTCCCTCCTCCTCTCCCCCCTCTGCCTCAACCCCACACCCACTCAGTAGTCACTAGGTGGTGGGAGGATGGCTTCTGCTAGCGAGGGCGGAATGTGGGGGACTCTTGTAACATGGTAAGTCCAGGTACATTTTGGGGACAATACTAAGGGGAGAGATGAGCATTGCAGGCAGACACTGGTGTGTGGGCAGGTGATAACATAGCTCCGACGTTCAGTTTCCACTACCACTTATCATTCCCCTCTGATGAACATAAAATAATGAAAGGTCCCAACGTGAAAAACGCTATACAAATGTCATTTTGTCGTTGTTATTGTTGTAGTTTGGAAGACCGACAAATAAACAGACAAAGCCATCGTAACTTACTCTGAAGAGGCAAATGCATGGGTCTTGATGGCATCCACCACATCATCAAACTTAATTTTGGACGTCAGCGTCCAACCATGATATATGATCGGTTTCATATCAGGCCCGTCCCAGCAATCCACTGAAAGGTAAGACAGGCAGAAATGTTAAATAATAATAATAATAATAATCCTTGCATTTGATATAGTGCCTTATCACGTCGTTGAGACGTCTCAAAGCTTCCCACAGAATATGCTGTAAAGTGAATTGACTGTATATTTGTGGGCGAAACTCAGCAGTCAATTGCGCACAACAGTGTCCCACAAACAGTCGTGGATTGAGCGACCAATTATTATTATTTTTTATCTTTACTATTGTTACAAATTATTATTCTTTTTCATCACAGGACCAGAAGATGGAATAAAAATAACAGATACTAAGGAACACATTTGAGATAGCCATCTAATCGCTGTTAAAGGGTATTTCCACTTTGTTTTGTTAAGAGCATCACAATCTAGATCTTTAAACAATGAGCCGGGTGTCAGACACATGCGGAAACCCAACATCGTGCTTAAGAGTATCGAAACCAGATAGGCAGTTCCACATATACATGCGACCTACAAAGCGTGACACCAACACATGGTAGCATGATGTTTGACTGACACACTGGAGGACAAAGGATTGGAGATGTTAAAAAGTTTCACGCTGAGCTGAGCATGTGTTTCACAAATGCCTGAAATGCTCACGAGCTCTGGGTGGCTGGTTTATCAGGCAACCCACGCAAATCTGGGACCAAACCATAAAGATAGGAGCTCTCCCCCCAATGCTGCAGACCGAGTGGAGCAGAAATTCATCACGACAAATGCTGTGTTTTGCACCCCCAATGTTTTCCCTACGGGGGCGGATATGTAGAACATACAATCTACAATTCTTGACTGTGCTGTGTTCCGGTAATGAGCTACCGATTATTATTAGCAACCATGCATTGCAATGTTAATTGCTCCTAATTGCTAATCCGTCAACAGGGACACTAGTTCACATCAGCCACTCGAGCAGATTTCTATACCGTCACTCCAGACTGAATATCAATCAGAAACCCAATGGTGAAATCCTTTTTATGCTTTGCAGATTGAAACAGCAATGCTGGCTCATTGGTTATATGAGACGGAATAGACGTGTTTGTCAGTGTTCGACATGAGGAGCAATCTGCAGCAGCATTTTGCCGTTCAATAACCTACACTACAGATGGAATGCTTTCTCGCGGATATTCGTCTTACGTTCAATACAGCGGCATCCCATCCTCAGACACCTAGCATACGCTTCTGTGGATGAATCACTACGAAACTGGTCTCCTACGAGGTACCTGGGAGGAAACAGCAGTCTTTGGTTATACTTCTTTTAGAAACTCAAAAATCTATTGTTTCTAACAGTCTTGTAACGGTTTCTATCTCAAACAATCACCCTTACATTTGAAACAGCACCTTATCGCGTCAAAACTTCATAGAGTGCTTCATGGCATTCTTTTGAAGTGTAGTGCCTCTGTATTTTGTAAGTGAATACGATATCCAATTTGCACACAGCAATGTCCCACAAGCAGCCATGGGAGGTTGTTGGCCAGAAAACCAGGAGAAGTTCCCTTCTCTTTTCGAATAGTGCCACGGGATAATTAAAGAAGACCTGAGCAGGCAGGTGAGACCTCAGTTTAAGGTCCCAAACAAAGAATGGCATCTCCAAACCTGACTTTCCCCAACACTGCACTGGAGTTCCAGCCTTGCCTATGGACTCAAAGTCCTGATGTGGTATTGTAACCCACATGTTCCCTTACATGGTGGAGAGAAATGAATTCCTTACGTGTTGTGTGAAGAAGATATCCAGTAATGTGACAATGGGTTATTCATATCCTGTGGATAGATCACATCGTATTTCGTGTCCCAGATTGTGTTTTCTTTGGAAAACAGGTACGTGAGGAACTGAAAAATAATGAATGAAAAGACCACACATTACATACAACAAGTCTCGACTCGTTGTGTAAAACTTGTCGTCTGAAATGGCAACGCTAGTACCAGCTTTTCTCCTTGAATCTTCTACCCTCCCCTCCTCTATTGGAGCTGTTTAGACTAATTTTACTTTTCACTGAGGTGTGGTTCCATGGGCAAAAGGGAAGGCCTGCAGCCTTACCCAACTAGCCACTATTTATGTGTGAGAAAGCCTTGGCTCTTGCCAACCTGCACCGAATATTTTCAGGAATTAGATAAGCAGGATGTGTCCCTCCAGGGAGAGAGTGTGCATTCCATTCCAATAATCTATCCAGGGATTTCTATGTGTTAGGTAGGATACATGGAATTCTCAGTTTGGTTTGGGGATTCTTAAGCACGTTGATGAGTTTCCACAGACACTCGGCTGACCCCAAAAATGTGCGAATCTCGAGAGGGAGTGTTGGCGTTTCTATCACCATCCGAGGCCCGAAATTCCACCTAGTCTCAGCCCGGAAAACCGCGTTGTCTTAACAATTTAAGACTGGGCAGGTTTTGTGGAAAATCCTTAAATTCACTCTTAATTTGGAAGCCGTGGAGTCCTGTGTAAGCAATGTGGAGAACGGCGTACTAAATGAAACGCCGCGATACTGTCCTTTGCATCACGAAGCGGGAAGACATTCCCAAAAAAAAGTCAAAGTCCGCTTTCCAAAGAGAAACGTGACGAGCACACCATGTTTCTGAACTGGCCAAAACTAGAGTAAATGAGAGCAGTGTGGTGTGTTGCTGCTGTCTGTCTGTCCTGTTACGACAGCATCCAGCTGCACTCAAGCTAAGCATCCAAAAATCTTTGAACCATAGATGGACAGATCTCCCTCCCCCATCACAAGTCAATACAGGGAAGATCTGACCTGAGATGGTCTAAAGTGTAAATATTTAATCCCTGAATCTCTGCTATAAGATTCCTTACAGAATTGCAAACCAGTTCCCCCCCCCCCACCCCACCCCACCCACCCCAGAACACAGTGAACCGGGATAAGAGCCAAGCAGTGTTCCCAAAGACAAAGCACGACATTTGCTTTTTGTTCTCAAAAGAGCAAGTTTAGTATTGAGATCTGAAATTGTAATGAGATTTCAAACGTTCCAAGAAGGTTAAATTATGTTTCTTTGCAAGAAGTGTTGCTGTGATTAAACACAATTGGGTATGCTGTGCATACAAAGGATAGCATTGGCATTCAGCTCCATTATTAAATAATTAGTGTTTTTTTTAATCTTCCTATTTTTTTCAGTACTCTTCCTCTCCCTCCTTTAGATTCCTACCATTTTCTCACTGGGCAGCCTGAGGGGTTCACTGTCCCTAAGCTTGTGCTTGGAAGTTGTCCAGAGGGCATTGGGTCAATTCGCTCTTAAATTCTCTCTCCCTCCGTCCATCACTCCCTCTGTCCCTCAAGCGCACCAGGATCCTACCCTGTGTGAAGGGCGCTATATAAACGCAAGTTGTTGTTTTTGTTAAACGAGTGCCCTCCCCGTCCTCTATATCTCCCTCTTGTGGCACACACCATATCACAAGCCATTGTGTGTGTGTGTTTGTTGGGGTAGACTAGAGAGGGATAAAAATCACAATAATAATCCTTGCACTTGATATAGAGTCTTATCAGTCTTTGAGACATCTCGGAGCGCTTCGCAGAGTATACTGTAAAGTGAATTGACTGTATATTTTATGGGCGAATCGCGGCAGCCAATTGCGCACAGCAGCGTCCCACAAACAGTCGTGATTGAACAAATTATTATCACAAGTGGCTACTCTATGGGCTGAAGGAAAGTCTTGCATACATGAACCTGATTCAATAATAAGTTAAACAAGCCTGCTTTAAGACTGTTTGCATTGGCCACAACCCTTTCTGGGTAGATGGAGCCCTGGTTTGATTTGGAACAAACACTGATATTTAATTTTTAGGCATTTTGAACCCTACCCAGCCAAGCAACTTAACACTGAATGTTACGAGCACGTTAAAGAGTGAGCGCGCGGTCCACATTTTGGAGGCAATTCCCTCTTGGTTTTAGGAGAGCGACGAGTGGGGAAAGTGCTCCCTAACGAGGGGTAGAGAGAGGGCTGCAATACTGCGGGGCATCTGCTTAATTGTTGACTTGGTATTGGAACAGTTCAGCGTGTTGTTCAGACCACATGGGCACATTGAAAGAGGCACGTGATGATTCCAATTACTTGCAGCACTATTGTGTCAAAAGTAGCAGAGACTCAAAAAATGTCAATCTGCACCATCCCCCCCACCCAATCCTCAACCCGTGGGACCAAACCACTGGGGGCAGAGTTGATTAACAGACCATCGGGCTTTATCAGTCATCTGGTCTTTTTAAGAAAAGGAGTTTTAATGAAAGGTGTGGGGAAAGAGAACAACCTTATTCCACTTCACCCTGAAGTCTGTAGGAATTTTATTTTTACTCCTAAATAAAGGAATGTGCAGTGAATGGGTGGTGGTGGGGGGGCAGGAATGTAGAGGGAACAAAGACAACACCACAAGTCCCACACTGGCGTTGGGCACGGAGCAATGTGAAGCTTTGGTCTTGCTTCACTCCTCACTGTTAAAGGAAAACACGGTAACAGGATAACAAGTGGTTGCAATTGTTGTTTCTCTCTGACAAATCGAGCCACTGTCCACAAAAGCACCCGTGGGATTTGAGTGTTGCATTGCTAAAATGCCTCAGTTATGCTACACACGTTAATGCATTGTCAGGTCTGTTAAGTGGAGGGGACTTGGAATCATCAAACCTCGACTATACCAATCGGTCTGAATTATCTCAGCCCAGGTCAGGTGTAGACCTTAATCTGATCTGAAAAGCACTTTTAAACACAGGGTCTCACGTCCATACCGCAGATAATCACGAGCATTGAATGCTGAACACGCCCCAAAACGTCACCTACCTCGTCTATATAAAAGAACGGCTCCTTTGTTTCTCTGTAGGTATCACAAATACATTTCGTCATCAGTTCCCGAACCTTCTTTATGTCACTCGCCCAGCTTTCCTTTGTCGTGAAAAAGGCAAAAGTCAGAACTTATTGAGATAATAATAACTCACAATTCACTGAAACGAAGGGGACTACCACTTCTGGATCTCCTCCCACTTAACCCCTCTTTGTCTCAGCTCCTCTCTATCCATCTTTAAGTCTTGTCTTAAAACCTTCCTCTTTACCGAGCATGTGGTCACCTGCTTTTCGTTCATTCTATTGTACAATATGTCATCTGAAATGTCTCTACTCAAGGCTGATGAGCGCTACTTTATCTAATTTTTCCTCGTAGCTCATGCCTCTAACATTGGGTAAAACCATCGTTGCTCTTCTCTGGTTTGCTTTCACCAGCGAGCTCGCCTTTGTGTACACGAGAGCACGAACTTACCTTCTGTTCAAGGAGTAGAAACCTCTGGAAATCGTGCAGATGCAAGGCGGAGGCCTCAGGCTTTTCCGTACTCCTACAAGAGGGGAAGGAGAGCTAATGATTAAGGTACTAAACAAAACAAAGGCTGTAGAAACTGCTCAGCTCCAGGGACTGCCCATATCTTGCATGCTTGAGGCTGCATTTTTACTGTGGACCCACTGATAACAGCAGTCCTGTCACTGCAGGTGAATCTGATGGGTGTCCTCAGCCCTCAACACCCTTTTTATTGTGCGAAGTTGAGAGCATGCGCACTAAGTCAGTAAGACACGTGATTTACATGCTTATTTACACGAGACATCGTACAATTACGCAACCTTTTGCTGGTATCTTCCAGCTCCCTCTGTTAATTCTGCTTTGGAGCCCCACACTGCAAAACTGACTTGTGGTTAAACGGCTTTCTTCTGCTACACGAGCATTGTTTTAAGCGCTCCGAGACACTACCCTGTGTGAAGGAAGCCATATAAATGCAAGTTGCTGCTTTTGTTGTTGTTTTCCTGATCAGCCACGAATGAAAGAACGACAGCGAGATCAAGGCATTGTTTGAGGCAAAGTCGACAGATAGCCAAGTTTGGAATCCCCCAACTTGCTCAAAAATTACGTGGGTAAAATCTTCACAATTGCAATAATTCCCCTTGCACCCACACACACACACACTGAATGAACTTTCTCCTTACCCCAGAATGAAAACAGATTCGTCCACTTTAAAGCTTTCAAGGATCTGGGGGGGGGGGAAAATACACTTGGTCGATTTTCATACTTTGAAAATTGTTCCAGCCACTTCAAACTATTTCTCATTTGTTCGATGAATAAAGTGAGCTAGAAGCAGGCATCGATATCATATAGGCTTGAAATTGCACCTTGCCTTAGCTTCTGAGACCGTTTTGTCTTCGAATGTGAAAATTCAAACCCTTAATTTGTAAATCGATTCTTGTTAAGAATTGTGGGAGGAAAAGAAGAGGCTTCAAATTAAGAGTCTTAAGAATGAACAATTTAAGATTTTTTTCCACAATTTTGCACAATTGTAACATTTAAAAAAAAAAAAAAAATGGTTCCACGGGCTGAGACTAGTTGAATTTTCAAGGGCACCAATTATGTACATATGTTTGCTTGGAGTCCAAGGTAGTGTATGAGCAATGAGAGCTTTGTACTTTTGAAGACAATACTCACCGCCTTCTGGCTATCGAACATCAGGTTCTTATAGAGCCGGTGAAATTGCTCAAAGGTGAGCTCCTCCTTGGAGTTTCCGCTCTCCTGGACACCCTGAGGTTCGTTTACAAGAGAGGTTCAAATCTTAAAACTTTCCACTGTGGAGCTTCACATACCAGCACACAGATGGCACTAACGTTTTTCCTGCCTCATTCGCGACCGGCTAAGTTATATCACTAGCAAGATGAATGTCATTAAGTAAGCTTTCCTTTAATACTTTTGATATCATAACTTACGGGCAATCCATAGTTATCCTGAGTTTTACAAAATGTATTGAGGATAACGCACAATACATAACTATTATAGCTGATTTGAGTAACTACAGCCGACTATCTAGTGAAAAATCATAGCTATTGAGGAAAGCTCACAACTTCATTTCAATACACGTCTTGTTAATTGAGAACAGATGCAATCACTGTAGTTTTAAAAGATAAATACCCCTATCTTGTCTTTGAGGAACTTGATACTGGGCACTTTGAAGTTTACTTGAGGCAGCATGATCTTGAATTCTTTGACAGAGATACTGAAATTTAAAAAAAAGGAAGAAATTTGATTAGAAGAATCTAAGAAATAGAAATAGGCTGTATTTATAAATGGGTTTCTGCAGTAACGAGTTTCATGAATGAAGACTCCACCTGGTCAACAGAAATGCATCATAATGGGACATTCGTGTGCAACATGCCGTGTTTCACTCACAGAAATACAACTTCAGAAGATGAACAATCTAAAAATTACAGCTTGTTCAGTTAGTGGTAAACATCATTCCTTCACTCTGAGAGTTGTGCGATGCTTCGTTTCACTTCCTCAAAGGGCCGTTGATGCAGACTCGGCGGGAATGTGAAAGTGGGAAATAGATAAACAATTGGCGAGAAAGGTTACGAAGGGGTCCGGAGAAAGGGCAGGCAAATGGTACTGTTACTGATCAGCCGTGACTTGATTCAATGGGCTGATTGGTCTCCTCCTGTTCCTGTACCACACTCACATTCCCACAGGAGCTTTATTAGAATCCAACCTATTTCCCGAGTGGTGACAGGAAACAATCCCTACTGTACCATTAAACGGAGAAAGGTTTATAATTAAGGAGCCTTGCAACACACTCAAAAGTATTTTTGTACTGAAAGTAGTCTTTCCTGTCTTTAATTGGCAGGCAGTTGGGTGGTAGGACTTTAATATTGGTAGTCACTCCACTATAAAAAAAATCACAGCGGCGATGAATTTTTTTGGAAACAAAAGTTCTCCTGGAGCACATTTCCCATTCGGCTGCGAAGCCTGTGTAATGGTTGAAACCTTTAAACTTTAAACTTTGGAACGGTGGCTTTATATCACGGAGCGTCACGAGAAAATGGATCAACGCAAGGCAGCAAGCCACCTCACGGGAGTGAAAGTTGCCAAGTTTGTGAACCGATTTGAAACGGTTCGCCCCTCTGGCCTTTTCTCTCCCGGTCAGTGTCAGCGATGCAAGACTTGTGACCTCTGCTCTTTGTCTCCAAGCTCGTGCCAATCACGAAGCCAGTTCCACTTGACGAACAGCAGAGGTCAGCGTCAGACATACACCAACTGGGCATTGCAGGAGCCAATCTGCACTGAATCAGTCAGAGATCTTAAAACCAGGCCTTCTGCACAACTGTTTCGTTTAACAGCTGGACACCTTACCTACACATGAGGGAAAGAAAGGGTTTCGCGGGACACGGCAGCTTTCAAATAAGTAGGCCGCGATGAAGGTGTTTTCTGAAGGAATGTGCTAATGCTGCCAGTTTGCTGCCTTTCGCACGTGGACGAGAGGGGCAGAGGTTCGGTGCAAACATTCTAGGAGTCTTACCTGTTTCTTCTGGTCTGATCCACTGAATAAAATTGCTTCCGCAACCAGCTGTGAACCAGAGAGAAGGGCAGAGTGAAACAGAGTCGCACTTACAACACAATACAATTTAACATCTGTATAGGACGACTACAAGGTGGACATTCAGAAGCCGGCAGAGCCCGAGAATAAGGCACTTGTGGTTCAATAACCTGAATGGCCAGCATACAAAACCTCAACCCCTCACCGAACCACATGCCAACTCTTCACTCCTCTTGATAGATAAAGGATTTTTATAGCGGTTTATTAATTACACCATTTCCTTGTCTCAATACACTTCACAAGTAAATAGTGGTGAGCGCACTGACATCATATGAATTTTTGCACACAACACAAACAGAGGTGAACGGTCAATTGATCTGGAGGATTGTTGGCCAAGGCCCTGGGTGTAACTCCCTTATTATTTTCAAATAGTGTCATGGGATCTTTAACGTTAAGCTGGAAGTGGGCACCTCAGTTTAATGCTTGTGTCTCATCAGAAAGACGACACCTCCGACAATGTGCGTCAGCCTGGCTCAGTTGGTAGCTTGCTCACCTCTGAGTCAGAAGGGTGTGGGTTCAAGACCCGTGTCAGGAGTTTGAACTCCTCTAAGTCTAGGTTAAGGCTCCAGTGGAATGCTGGGGGTGTAGTGCATTGGAAAGGTGCTGTCCTCCGGCTGAGATGTTAAGCCAAATATGCTTTTTCAGGTGGAGGTTGAAGATCCCATGGCATTATTCAAAAAAAAAACAAGAGTTTTTCTTGGTGACCTGTTCAGCAATTCCCCAAATTGAATATTCACCCACTATAGCGCATAATAATAATAATAATAATAATCATCCTTGCATTTGATATAGTGCCTTATCACGTCATCAACACGGCTCAAAGCACGTCACAGAACACACTGTGAAGTGAATTGACTGTGTGTTTTGTAGGCAAAACAAAGAGGTAAGTTAGCAGGTGACAGACACAGGGTTTCACTCTACCTTTCTATCATCGATGGGGTGGATGCCAGTTGAGCCTCTTTGTGCAGTAAATCCAGTCCCTTTAACCACGAGGAAGCATCGTCCTTTGTATCGGCTTTGAGAATGGAAGACATTGGGAAAATGAAACAACTTTGTTGTAATCAAATGATGATGCAACTTAGAGTATCAAGATAACCAGTGGTTGAATCACCAATCTAAATTATTCAATGCATACGACAGGAACAGTCTCAAGGTAATGTAACAGCAGACCCTTCTATAACAGAATTTTATCAACCATACAGCAGCTATATCAAGAGGCAAGCTTTATTGGAGGGTGCGTTCCATGTGCTTTTTATTAGTGGGAGATTCGCAAGCAATTTGAGTTGAGTAGTGATTGTGGTATTTCAGAGAGGACCTAATGTATCTTGATTGTGGAGTGAAAGCATTTCTGCAAGACCACGTTAAACTGCGATGTAATGAGCTGGCAAAACTGGAACACACAAACCAGTAACAGCACATCAATTATTGTATCCTTAGCTCGTTAAAATGCTAACAGCAGTTACAGACATTATAAGGAGTTTTTGTTCCACTCTGACCAGGTGAGGGAAAGCTTCACGTGCAAACGCCAGCGGGGAGCAAGTGATAAAATGACAGAATTAGAATAAAGGAGACCTTTGATGTGGAATACGGGTCTATGTACATTCTGCTTATATAAGCACAATACATTTCTCTAAGCTGGAGTTGGTGAGGTTTAAGAAGGACACGAAGGAGTGAATGAAACGGAACAAAGGATGTGATCCAATCGCATTTTTTTTCTTTAGAAGTATGATGTATCGCACCTGCGGATGGCCTGGGGAAATGGTTACAATTAATCAAACCTGAACTGTCTGTTCCATTTCCCCTTTATTTATTTATTTTTGTACTTGATTCACCCACTTTCCTTAACCACCGTCTCACTTGTGTATCTGTCTATATTACCCATTTTTACTGTAGATCTGAATCCTCTCTAAGATTCCTTTTGTGTTAAGTACAGCCTTACAACCCTTCGTCCCAGCACGCCACAATCTGTTATTCAACCACAAGTGCCTCTTTGCGCATGGAGTATGTGGTATGAACGTTAGAGAATCAGAAGAAGTTCAGTTTAAGAGGTCACTTGGCCCATGGCGTCTGTGGAAATAATAGCTCCGCACTGGAACTGTCCACTTCAATCCATTCCCCATTTCACTTTTATATCTCTGTTCTTCAACTGCTTCAATGTGCTCCACTAGACATGTTCTCTGCCTGTGAATTATTCCCAGCTTGTTATTCTCTCCAACTTCCCGACAGAAATATATCTGAAGACTTTCAACCGATAAACAACTGTAAGTAATCCGACCACATCTGATTGGAGACACAGCAATCCCATCACCAGTTTACTTTAGTGCACTCACCAGCCAAGCTTAGCGTGTTGAGGACAAACTCAGACCCATAGAATACCGTGAAGCACATATCGTCGTTGTATCGATCCTTCTGATCTTTTGAGATCTGGTCAAAATCCTTTGAGTTTTTCCCAGGGCGAACTTCTTTGATTTCTCGCAAGTCAACTGAAAATAAATGAAATATTTTTTGTAGATAACTTTAGGCACCTGTAGTACTGCCAGCTGCACTGATGTCTGAAATAACATAAATTCATAACTGGCATAGATACGCAATGAACACAAATAGGCCTAAGCAATTAATTGGCGCTTTATGCTTACTTAGTCATAGAAAGAATGATCCTAAGAGCACAAGATTGGTTTGGTACAAAGAAGACTCTTCAACCCATTTGATCTCACCCTTCCAAAATACCCACTGTCTTTCCATCACAGCATCGTTTTTTTTTCTAAATGCTCTTAGTAGAACCACCGCAAAATTGAACGTGTGTTATTATAGCAAGTGATATCACAGCACTCATCTGACAGAAACAAAATAACCCAATCAATCCAATAATTGGAATATCAAACTAATAATTTTACTATTTCATCAGGAAGCAATGAAAGTTTTATGAGAGGTACAGATAAATAATATCCATTTAATCATATGGCCTCATCCTTCTGGAATACCCAGAATGGGTCTTCGCATTGTAGCATCAAATTGTTTCTTACATGAATCCAATGTTTTGTCCTCTTATCATTTTCCTTGGTAATCCATTGCAATAGTTCAACCTATCCACTGTGCAACTTCTTCCTAGTGTCTGCCCCAAAACTGAACTTGTGTCCTCTTGTCTAAGTCTCAAGAACAAATTTAAAATCTGTGACCTGTTGACACTCAGGGCGGCGTGGGGGGAGTAGAGGGGGAGAAGGAGAAAAGCAGAACCAAACAGATTCTAAGTATAAAGTCAAAATCCCAACTATCAACAAAAAAAAAGCAGAACAGAAATATTTTTCTCATTTTAACAGAAATCGTCTATCGTTGATGGCTGTGACAGTTTATACCCGGAATAGGTTCCACTCCAGAAAAGGATCATAGTGCTTCACTTAGAGATCAGGCGATCAGCTAAATGCCCTTATCTCAGGCACTGCAGAAGTACGCTGCGCTATTTTTCAGGTTGGATGATACATTGCAAATTGTAAACTCGGGCTGAAAAATGAGACTGCCTCTGCCTGTATCAAAAGTGGGTAGTGTGCGTCTCGCTATGCATTCAGATCTGTACCCAGAGGCTCTGGGCTCATTTCAAGTCAGGTTTGACAGAAGTCCTGTGATATAGGCCTCAAGAAGAACTGCTAAAACTGAGTTTGCATGTGTAACGCATTGATAAGAAATGGACATTTGAAGCACAAGGAAGTGGTTTTGTGGCACAAGACACAACTATGAGACAGCGTACTTCCTTACAGCGTGGGGGAGTGAGAGAGGTCCTTTGCTGACCCGGAATTGTGCAAACTATAATTCACAACAAGCAGTATGACAAGCTTCGGGGTTAGCGTCTGAGAAACAAAAGTCTGTATGGTCCTTTGCCGCAAGGCATCACCTATTCAGCTGACGGTATTGTCTCCATGGTCTGGTTTGGGTTGAAGATTGAAATGAGCATTCATTCCTTCAAAGAAGTTTGAAAGGGCTACTTTTGTACTCATCTTCTAAACTTCAGTACCAGAACCCAGTCACATCTGAACTTCTTGCTCTAACACCCAGATCACAAGGAACAAATGAGATGTTTCTGATCAGATTCCTGATTATCATCAATCACATTTTTGCCACACACAACCCCTCCCTCCCATCGCAATGCTGCAGTATCTGTTGCTGTCTCAGGTGAAACAGCACAGCTTTCAATTACTACAACATAGGTGAGGGATACATCCATTCAATCTCAAAGCAGATGGAAAAAAATTGGTTGTTCACTTCATGGCTATTTGTAGGGAGATTGCTGTGCATAAGTTGGCTGCTTCATTTACTTTCCAAAATACCTAGGCACTACACCTTACAGTAAAATCCTGCGAGGCACTTTGAGATGTCTTCATTATGTGGTAAAGCTCCATATCGAATGCTAGCACAGGTGACAGGTGGCGAGGGCTAGTGAAGGCTCTGTGTGCAACCCAAAAAAAATCTGAATGCCCCTATGAATGCAACAGCAACAACAAATTACATTTGTATAAAGCCTTTCACGTCAGAAGGACATCCCAAAGCGCTGAATGTGAGGATTATTATTATGTTCTGATCATGCAACTAACTCATTGTGTTGGTGGTATATTGCTGGCATAGATTTGCTATCCAGTTTGCCTTCGTGAAAGCAATCGCTCACTGTGTGAAAAGCTTTGAGACGTTTTGGTATTAACATGTCGGTCTATCAAAGGCAAATCAGATCACTTATTGCTAGTTGACTCAATGACTGGAACAAAGTCCTAAATGCAGAGTCAGTTGGATAGCACCCAACACTTTATTCACCATTGTTGGGAATTTACATTTTGTGCTATTGATTTAAACCAGAATGTGGCATGCAGGAATCACTTGAAAAATCATGTTTTGGGCAGGGTTTTAATCTGGGACTCCAGAGGTGTAAGAAAAATAATAATAATAAAAATAATAATGACTGGAAATCGCTGCTCAGCCTTTTGACTAAGATAATAATAATCCTTGAATTTGATATAGCACCTTATCACATCTTCGAGATGTCTCAAAGTTCAAGTGTAATAACTGTTCTTATCAGTTATCCCTTGGGATTATGCACATGCCAGAAAGGTCTCCTATTGAGATTTGCTTGTGTTTACAAGTCTACGACCGAATCTCCCCATAATGTATTACAATAATCATTGCATTGCATATAACGCCTTAGAATGTCTTCGAGATTATTACTATTATGTATTATGGGAGGATGAGCTCCTGTAGGAGCTGTGCCTTAGGCCCGCGTTGACTGGCATCGGCATTGCAGTACTTCTAATCTGATGGTTTGATCCACCCTCACAATGAGGAAGCGTTAGTACAGAAATACAGAGTTCACTCGAGCAGTTGATAAGTTCCCCGGGCAGGGTTAGACTTAGGCAAGTTTCCTTACTCCACACACACATACACACACCTGTTTACCCAGCAGTAAGTAGGAACCCGCTTGTTAATCGACTGACGGATCGCTTTTCCGGGGGTAATAATCCCTCCAAAATAATAATAATAATTCGACCGCTCAATCCACAACTGTTCGTGGGACGCTGCTGTGCACAATTGGCTGCCACGTTTTGCCCACAAATATACAATCAATTCACTTTACAGTCTACTCTGTGAAGTGCTTTGAGACGTCGAGAAGACGTGAAAAGCGCTATATCAAATGCAAGGATTATTTTTATTATTATTGATTACTAGGTTCAACCCTGGGCTTGCCCAGCCGGAGAGGCCATTCGGTCAACTGACTCGCTCGGGTAAGTGTGAAGACAGGTATCAGGTCCGCATTGTCCTTTGACGATTTGGGGCCTGCGGGGACAACCTTCGTTCCCTTGAGGAATGCATTTCAGTCTAATTCGGCTTGAAAGTGGGTGAGTGGGACCTAACCTCGCTCACCAAAAAAAAAGGAAAGAGCTCATGTCAACTCTTCTTCTCAGTGGGAAGTAGATGTAGGATGGATGGGGGTTTATATCAACTCTGAAGAACTTACTCAGATTGGAAAAGGATTTGCATTCACGCGTATCTTGTGAGAGAGCGAAGAATAATAATAATAATCCTTGCATTTGATATAGCCCTTTTCACATCAGGAGGACGTCCCAAAGCGCTTCACAGAACACACTGTAAAGTGAATTGACTGTATATTTGTGGGCGAACGCGGCAGCCAATTGCGCACAGCAATGTCCCACAAACAGTCGTAGATTGAAAATGACCAATTTAATTATTGTTTTTTGGTTTTTGGAGGGATTATTATTAGGCTCTATGTGGAGTAAGGAAACTTGCCCAAGGTTTCGCCCTCTGCCTGGAATTGAACTCAGGTCTCTCACTTGCAAAGCGAGTGCTCTAACCACTGAGCTACAGGACTCCACCTGTAGCAAACAATGGATGGATGCAAACAAAAGAAAAGTGCCTGCGGGACTCGGTTGCAGGCGGCCCTGGAATCAATGCAAATTCGTTCACACCATTCAAAGGGTATTTGTTTCCTCACATGCAAATGCCCTCTTCGCCCCTGGGACAATCCTGTAATTTATCATTTTGCCACTGTGCAAATCATGAGGACATTTTATTAGTAAATATAAGTTGATGGAAAACTGTTATCAAGTTGTCCAAATTATCAGGGTACAATCATAAAGATGCAGTTAATTATTACATAGACACGAACAGATGCAGGCAGTGTGTTGTTGAAAGGGAACCTTCGTGTTTAGGATAACTACTTCCTCCTGTATGTTTGTTTGTTTGAGTTTGTGGGTTCATGCGTGTGCGAGTGTGTGCTTGTGTGCGAGTGAACAGACAGAATGGATCTTGCTTCAACATCTCATCTGAAAGATGACACTTCTGACAAAGCAGCGCTCCTACCCTGCACTGGAGTCAGCCCACACGACGGCTTGAACCCACAACCCTATGACCCAGAGGCAAGAGTGCTACCCACAGAGCCACAGAGCAATATCCTGCAATAAATTTGGTAGCATTCTTTTTGTTAATTTGACACATGAATCGGACCCCGCTGAGTGTGTGTGTCTGCATCTAAATTTGATTTTAATTGTTGCACGCCTCGCACTTAGAAATTTTGAATTTTTTTTACGGCACAGAAGAAGGCCATTAGGCCCATCATGGTAGAAACAAATTCACTAAGTAGTGGAATGTGAGATGTTCGGCTGATGCAGTTCTGTATCGAGTGGGGGTGGTGGGGAGAGAAGATAAATACCACAGGAGTTTCTTCAGGCCACTGTAGTCACTGCTGTTTATAAAGGCATCACTAGGAGGTGCTGAAGGGTAGCCCATGGCAATGGTAACTCACCCATTGACTTACCCTTCTGCAGTCGGGTTGAACCTTTGCTTGCCGTCTTTCTGATGCACTGATAAGATTGGGAACTCATCATGCAGAACATTGGTAGACGTGAACTTATTGGAATGCACTACAGCATGCAGGCTCTGTGCATATTATAAAGAACACACTGTATGCTTGACTACAAACAGCTGCCTG